TGAACATGTGATTATTGCACTAAGGTTGATTTTTATTGTTTGCGCACTTTTACCTGGCAAACCAGTTGACGTTTGAGGATTGTTGATCGAGTATGCTCATCCGGTACGTAACTTTGAAAGGTGTCGTTTATAAGTGTCGGATTTTAAATTTCTTATAAAATCTATTGTAAAACTGCTGATTTTGAGACGCGTAATTATTATTAATATTTTACGAAAAGAGAAAATTATTTGCAAATTGAATAATAAATATTGGTGCGCGAAAAACTTCGCTTTAATATCTAAATATACAACGTATTAAAATTTTTATTCTAAATTGAAAATAGTAGTGACAATATAAAAACTTGAACGTACTTTCGCAATAATTTTTGTTTTTATTTACAATGTGTAAAACATTATGGGCTAGAAAATTATTGTAAATTTGTCTACGTATAACAAATACATGTTACATTAAAAATTGCAGTATTATCACATGAAATATAATAAAGAAAATTTTCTTATTACAAGGGTCAAAAATAAACACAAAAATAACATTTTCCATTTATTTTCAGTGATCTTTATCAAGATGGTTTGTTTAATTACTGAAGTGAAAATGTTTATTAAGTCAATTTTTTAATTGGTAATTATTTAAAATATAATGTATGTATATTTTTGTATGTAAATACAGAAAATAACTTTTCATTAGATATATTTTAAAGTAAGTATAAATGCAAAAAGTCTTGTATGATAATATATTTATGTATATATGTATATATATACATTATTTCACACATAAAATAATCTATGATTCATTCTATTTTCACACACTTTTTGTCTTGCATAATTCTCTGAATTTTTTTGGTCAACAAATAACAAAGTATATAGAAGATGTTCAGTTTTTTCTTATCATTCTCTCATTCTCTCTCAGTTTCAAAACTTCCTAGAAATGTCTGCATAATGCATATGGATATAGTTTATTTTTGCACTATGCAAATATACAGAAAAAATTCAATAATGTGTACTTTGATAATATTTAGCTATATTCATAAAAGCTACATTATCCATTAAAAGTTATTAGACACCTCTTAAAGAAACCGGTGAATCAAACAAAATATATATCTAAATAATTTAATATTTATAATAATTTTAAAAGACATTCATAAAGACATTCCATGTTTATTTTCATTTATTTATGTTCGTAACATTTTCATCGTATTTGATTTAAATATATAGTTTACATTTTTCATTTCTTCACATAAATAATGGATTGGTGTCTGAAAAATTTTTAATCGATAGCGTATATACCGTCAATCTTAATTATTTTAATTCCTGCAATCATGATTTATAATTAAGCTGCATTTTCGAGACATTTTATACAAAGAATATTGCAGCACGCAAAATTACTTATCAGTGCTGCAGAATTTAAAAAATGGAACCTTCGACATTCCTGTCTCGCATAAATATACATAATATACTTTATATATAAACAATTCGATCTGTTGACTCGATTAGGGCTACCCAATTTCTGATTTTATTTTCGTTTTTCTTTCATATGTTAATTACAATTCATTTTACTGTCAGGCACGAAAAAAAAGGCTGAAGTTGCATTCTTAAGGTATTTCATAAAACAGACTCTCTTGCTGTAAAATGTATGGCATTTTGCTCATGAGTATTAAAAGTTAAAAAAACTGTATATTTAAAAAATAGTATCATTGGTATAAATAAAAAAATTCCACTAATTTTCTTTGAATTAAGCTGATATAAATTAAAACCTTCAGGTATAATTTTTTTTTGTAAAACTGACAGTTTTCCATTTGTGGTATTTACACGTGCATACAAATAAAATATATGTATAAGTGACTATGTACTTTAAAAGACATGAAATATTTCATCAATCATAAAAAAATTAATGAGAAATTTCTTTAATAAGTAAACTTATTAAATATTGATGCTTTTCATTATATACATATTTATTTTCTTTTTAAATAAACTGACAGTTCTAAACATGAAAAATTACATTTTTTTATACATTGATGAAATATTTCATAATTTTTAAAGAAAATTATATTTTTTACAATAATAAGTTTAAAAAGTGGAAAAAATGAATTCATTTGTGAAAAGTTTTTCTTTCTCTTACAAAACGTCATGGAGAAATTGGAGTTCATGAATTTTGCTATTTCAATGGACGTATTTTTATATCTACACTCATTCATATTTGCCATTTCAAAATCATTAGGATACTTCCATTTTTTTAAGTTGGAGGATATTTAGTTTTACAAATAATCCATTCATTACTTTTTGAAAAGTATTCAAATAATGATTTTTAAATTATATTTTTAAATTTTACGATATTAATAAACATAAAGTAGATGATGGAAAGACATGATAATTCAAGGATTACAAAATTTAGCTCTCCAAAATTATTTATGTGCAATCGAAGTATTTACAACTTTCATCATTCATGCTAAAACTCTATAATCCTTTCTTTTTATAAAAGAAACTTTCACTATTTACTATTAATGTAAAAATTGTGTATTCTAATCCGATTCTAAAACAATTTATACATAAATCATATGAATTTTACGCACATGATTATGTAAATAGTACCTAAGTACACACAAAAATTTATATTCCACAAAATATTGAAGATAGTTTCGAAAGTATTCTAGAAAATCACAGAAAATTGGTATAAAACAATTGCTCTGAATATTGTTTAAATAAACTTATGTATTATTTTTGTGTGTATCTAGTCTTAATAAAATACATATCAGTCGTACATAGGTTTATTTGAGTCACTGACAGATTAATATAATACAATGTATTATTATTATAATTTTACTTATAACTTTAACTTCATATATTTTGATTATAAAGCAATAAGAAAGAGACATGATACATGCGTTTGGTTTTTCAATAAATTATATAATTTTTGTCATATTATATTGCTGAAAATTAATAAATAAAAGATAAAAGTCATTATTAGTTTAATAACTTTATCACTAGTAAATTGCTTATATAATTTAATTCGTTATGATTCATTATATAAACTAATAGTGAATTATATTCAACATTGTAATTCATAAGCTTATATATATTACAAATTTGAATAGAAACTTACAATATATCTGTTAGCTATTTATCTCATTCTTTCATATTATTTTCAAATAGTCAATCTATATTTACTATATTTTAGACATGGTTATATTTAAAAAGATAATGCCATTCAATTTATTTATCAAGTATTGTAAATTAAGTGTATCATTCAAGTATTGTGCATTTAATGTAGATTTCACGTACTATGATTCAAATGTATCTTTCAAATTTCATTAAAAAATATTTAATATTTATTATTATACATCATATAATAATCTACAGCTATACGTTTCTCGATTTTATATAAAAACATAATTTCACATATTTTTTAATTTAATCAGAGTACAATAACAGTAATAAATTGATATATAAAACAAATATCAAAGACGGCTTTTCTTAATACATTAATTAATATTAGTGAATTAAGCAAATACGATATTTAAAAAATTTCTCAGGTACATCAAGAATATATCACCTGAGAAGTATAATCATACAAGAATAAAAACCAAAATTTGCTATGTATTCGTAGTGTCTCATTGTCGATGTTTCACAAATGTAAGCCAAATGTAATTGTTGATATTGACTTCACATATGAAGCCTGATGTATACATTAAAGTTCGAACTTCTATATAATCAAGATAAATAAAGCAAGTTTCCTCCTTGCTATTGACATTCTAACCTCAAAACGTCTGTCAGTGGCTTCTTATTACCCACGCACGAAAACACGTACAACTCACATTTCGCTTGTGTCCATACAACAACTCGATTCCTTATATTTCGCACACTTTCTTATTATCTCATTCCAAATTCTCACTGGCTCTCAGGGCTTAAGTCCTTTTCACCTTCACCATCCCCCTCTTCTCGCGTCATGCCCTCAATTGGGGCGTGTGACTGATGGGATTGAGGTTGCTCTAATGTTTCTGGGTCATCATACTGGGCTAGATTTTCCGACGGCTCCTGCGCTGGTGTTTGGAAGGGTGGTCCGTTTTGGGCAGCACCCTGAGGAAAGCCTGTCTCCGCAGAAACTAAGTGTGACGGTAAATGAGGTGAAGCCGACTGTGGTTTTCTGCTTTTTTCACCCTTCCGCCAAAGTGTAATTTCCTGCGACAGAAAAATTTAATTTTAAGTTAATAATCAGACATTATAGAATTTGATCCTATTACACAATTGTATTTTTATAATATATTTTTTTAATAAATAATATTTTTAAAATATAAGAAAATTACAAAATCAATACCCATTGTGAATTAAAAATATATAAAACTTATGATGCTATTTAGGGCAAAAAATTAATCAAAATTTAACAGACATATTAAGTTAACTTTTTACATTATAATTGTTATATACAATTGCCATAAAATTCTATTAATTTATAAAAGTATCAAACATTAAAAGATACTCATTTAAACATATATATATCTAAACCTTAAAAGTATTTATGTAAATATAAATGTTTTACTTGATGCTTACTCAAAACTATCATTTAATTTTGAAACATTCATTTGAATAAAAATTTTCTTCAATATCTTAGAAAATAATTAAATAGATATATTTGTTATAAAAATGAAAAATGATAACGTAACATGTCAACATCAATTTTGCATTACAAAGTAAATAGAATTTTTTTGCAATTTTTACATTAAGTAGATTCCTATATTAACTATGATTTATTGTATTTTAATTATATATTTAATATAAACATAATTTGATTTTAATCATGGAACAAATTTTTTTTTAAATACCAAATTTGTGTTCTTGATAAAATTGAATAGATTTTCAGGATGTGTTTCCATTAATTAACATAAAAATATAGAATATAAAATGAAAAACAACCTGTTGTTTGAAGTATCTTCGATCTTCTTCATCCATAAGGACTAAATTGAGGTAATATCTCACACTGAATTTCTTGTTAATATCTCGCATTGTTGGTGCTAAGTCATAACCTGCTAAAAATACTCTAATTGGAATAGACTCTCCCTTCACTGGTGCACCATCCATTATCTCATATTTTGCTATAGTTTCGTTTTCCATGAATGTATGAGGTCCTGTAAAAAATATTTTGAGTAAAAATGAAAAAAATATTTGCAATATTCTTTAATATTTATTCATTATAAGTTATATTCATTGTTTTTCTATTATAAATGGGTGCGCATGGGCATTTGTGTGTATGGGTACATAAATATAAAATTTAGTCAAATTTTATTAATTAATAAAAAATGTATAACAACTAACCAGAACCTGTTGTCTCTCGTTTAATAATTGCTATTTCCATGTGTTTGATCTTAATTCTGACCAATAAGAAGTAAATTTTTCCAACTATAACATCTTTTAAATGATATCTATAAGGTAACAAAAATTAATTATTAAATTATATTCATAGTCAATTGTTTGCATATACTCTTATCATTGTAAACTGGAACATGATAATTAATAATCTTGACATTTTAGTAATGAAATATATTAACAGAATTTTAACAAAAATATTTATTTTTATAATCAATTAATAGATCCTTACTTGCTTTTATTATATTCAAATTCGATATGCAAACAGTCTTCAATTCCAACTTCCATTTTAATGGGATTATTCATGTCTGGATAAGAACTAAGAGTATGTACAACAAGCTCCAGTTCTTTAACAATATCGCTCAGTCTTCTAACAATTGTTACTCTAAGAAAATATCTTAGTCGCACATTTGATCCTGTATAGCTTTCAAAAGATTTTTCCACATTAGCAAATTCAAATTCATATGTGGTATTATGCGTAAGTTCACCAGGCCTTGCAAGTTCCTTAACTAAACTACTGAATTCATGATGATTACCCCTGTCATAGTAAAGTTCTATCTGTCCAATAAACTCAACTTTAACACCTTGATGTTCCAATTTTCCTGCTTTTCTCAGACTAATATTTATCTAAGAAATAAAAATTAATTTTATTATTAAAAACTATCAAAACTTACAAATAAAAAATATATTAAAAAAATACTGATTTTTAAAAAAATTTATATCGTTAACAACATATATATAACAAGGAAATAACTATTAATTATTTCATATTATTCTAATATATCTTATAGCTAATTAAATAATTCTTAAACATTATACATCGACTGTATTTTTCTTTTACATTTGTACAGCATATAGTTATATACTAGATTTAGAAATAAAATAAAAAGAAACAATTTTTATTAAATTTTAACAAAGACAATTTTAAATATGATTAAATATAATGAATAAACTTTATCAATATTTATATTAAATTCAAAATTATTTGATATCTTTGTTACTTCCTTTATTATTGTAAATAATTTACATATGTCCATGTATACAAGTATGTTTATATGTCAATTATTGTTTAATAGATATACATTCTTTCTTATTAGATATAATTAAATATTCGACTAAAGAGGTTTATTTTATATATCGTTCTAGTTTACACTGAAGCATAACAACTTGACTTACCTTGCCAGAGACTGTTTCTCCATCAAGATATAACAAATGCCTTTCTTTTTTTCCATCTTCAGACTTAATATCTGCAGTCTTCCTGGTGTCTGCACCATCAAGTGTAATCTCAATATCTGCAGATTGGCCAAACCCAAAGAAGCTCTATAGTTAAAAATTAACGACTTTCAATGAAACACGCTCTATACGGGTATAAAAAGGCCATAAATAAGATGAAAAATGTGCCTACTTACCATTTTAAAGCTCTAAAGAGAAAATTGACTTTTCGATTTTCTTATGGTATAACCTGGCGCGAGCGACCAGAAACACGTTCGCGTTATATTCTCACCAGCACTGTCCACGGCATAATTAAAGAAATAATTATTAAATGATCGAGAAAGTGCAATTTTCTGTCCTCACTACCAGTTGGTTTTCGTTTAGACACAGGAAGGACTAACGAAAGATAGATTTATTTCTCCCCGTACCGAACGATTGCGGCGGTGAACAGTCACAAGTTGCCAATATGGCCGTACGGCACTGATAGCACTTTTGCCATCGGTAGTTCTATCTTGTCAAAAGTCCCTGGCTTAAATATTCGCATATGTTTAAATGCATTCGTGCACCATATGTATGTATGAATAAGTCTAAGGGAGAAAGAGAATACATACAATGTACACCTCTACCTATCTTTTTCTTTTGCGTTTAAATTTCTATTACGTTTGTCCGTCGGAATTCGTATTGTAAATTTATAGAAATGGAAAGATAAAAACGACCTTAACATCTGTCTCTCTCATTATTTTTCTCTCTCTCTTTCTCGTTTATTTTTACATCTGAATTTTTTTTTCGGCTTTCGTCTACCTTATCAAAAATTACTTTGCGTAACATGTTACTATCGGAATAATGAAGTACATTCAATTCACATGAAATAAATGGTACATTCAATTTCATAAACAAGTGGAGAATGACTCCGTAGTATAGGCTACATTAAATTTATATTTACGAAAAAGTAAGAGAAAAATTTACATATTTCATGTTTACATGACAATATGTACACACACATATATATATAAACAGATATGCAAAAACACTAAAAACTGCCAATCTGATCAAAATCTTTATATATGCCCAGAAAAATAGGGTAACTAATATTAAGCCATATCGATAATCTATGCATCAATTTAAATTTATGACTGTGACATTACCAATTAACAGTAAACACGTAATTCATAAACATTTTGTACTAATAAATATATAGGTTAAACAATTTAGATTACTGAATAGTTTACCTCACTATAATATTCGTGTAAAAAATACAATAAAATTTAATACTTGATTTAATTGAATAATTTAATACATATTATTAGTAAGTTTTTAATCAAAATTTATTAAACTTTTATTACGTTTGAAGTAAATTAATTGATTAGAAATTTTTAATTTGAGTGGAAATAAACACGTATAAATAAAATTCTTATGTAGATTTACTGATGTGGTATTTGATAATTTAAAAAATTAATGTGATCTTTTAATAATACATAACAGCTATAATAATGAAATATTTTATTAACTCTTTATAAATAAATATAGCTCCTTGTAATTACTATACTTGTATTTAAATAAGCCAAATGATCTAAAAATAGTAATTAAAATATTAATTCATGTTCTATATTGAAAAGAATTGATCAATTTTATACATTTTTATGTAACTATAATTCATGGTTCTGAAAAAAAAATTGAAAATATAATTATATACACATTCGATATTTAATCAACTGACACATTTTACATTATTATAAAATATATTTTTGAACATCTTCAACAATAATAAATTAATGATAATTAAAACAATCGATGCTATCTATCTCAATCTATATATTTAAAGAAGTTTCATTGGAAAATACAAAATATGCATTCTCATATATTCGCCAGATAATATTCAATGACAAAAATTACGACAAATTCATCACTATAGTTTAATAAAATTAAAAAATCTAAACATACAGAAATGTGCCTTTTAATAGTTAATCGTTAAAGATTAGTTAACGCTTTTAGTACTTGGAAGATTCTAATCTTTAATTTAATTTCTTTTGCAATTGTACTTCTCAGTTACATTACCTAAAAAAGATATACTACATATAATGTGGATGCAAAAATTTAAATATTGTAAAATAATGTATTTATAAAATAATTTGTTTTCTTATCAAAGTTAAATTACATATATTTACAATTATATTGAAATGTATACATTTAATAATTATATAAATTCAATATTTCAAATAAGTAAATTGGAATTTTTAAAAAATTAACATTTTTTAAATTATTTAGTATACTATTTAATCTACACTTGACCAAATTATAATTTGAACCATTATTTTTTGTTTTAAAATAAGAAGCAAGCTATATCAAGTTTATAATTATAAATAATTATCAAATTAAAAGAATGCTAATATTTTAATCTGATTTATTTGATATTTGAGGAAACGTAAAGTTTTTTTTTTGCTGAAATTTTAATTTTAATTCTTAATTCTAATTTTATTCTTATTATTGAAATAGAATTTGAAAAATAGAAAGGAAAATTAAATAAAATTAAATGAATAATAATACTTTTACATTATGTGCTAAAAAAATAATGATATCCATACATTTGCAATTGAAAATACAGTTGCCGACGCAAATACTAAATTGCTATATAATCACGTAATTTTAATTGCTTATTTCGTTGAAATAAACCGTAAAATTTAAAAAGGCTTTAAATTTTCAAAGTATACTATTTTTAGTCTAATAAACTGTTTAAAAAAATATAGGAATCTACTTTTGCGAAGTAAAATTGTAGCGGTGATTTATATTTAGCGCATGCAAAAATTGCATCAAATGAGGTTGATAGCCGGTATTTGCTAATTTCTCCGCCACGTGGGCCAGGTAAGCTCTTTGTTCACTGAAAGCTATATACATCTTCTCGAGATTCTCGTAATTCGGACCGGCCGACTTTGATTCGTTCCAGTTCTGCGTCTTTATTCGATTGTGAAATTTAAGAACAACTTTGAAGATATTGCATAGGCACGTGCGCATCTTTTCACCTCTGAGATTCAGCATACACCTATAATAAATCTCGGAAATTAAATTAAGGTTCATAAATTAATGAAACAAATTTATAAAGATTAACATATATTAATAATAATAATAAGAAGAAGAAGAATAATAACAGTAATAATAGAAACAATAATAATAATAATAGTAGCAATAATATTAATAATACTAATAATGGATAATTATATCAAGTCCTCAATAAATATATTAGGACTATCATTTAATTAGAATACTATTTTGAAAAATTAATTGAAAAATATTGAATATAATTCGTTCTGACTTCATAGAATATATCTTATTGAAAACTATTTTTTTATTTTAAAATAAACTAGATACTGTTGAAAGCCTTGTATAAAATAATTACATGTAGTTTATTAGGAATTGAAATGCCCATATGCTTATATACGCATTTATTATAAAATATTTTAAAATTAAACAAAATATTGATCTGCATTTTATTATTGTGTTACCTTGATAAAATCTTTTTTATGTAACTGATATGAGTATCATGCACTTCTTCAAGAGTCATTGTGTTTTCTAATTTCTTTTCAAATTCTGACCAGCTGGCATGCAAAACACTGCAAGTTAGGTATGTATGCAGTGCATTCATAAATTGCATCATTGAATGCCTGTACAATTGGAGCTAAAAGTGGAAAAAATTTGCAATATAATTTTTTTAATACAATATATGAATTCAATGCTAATATTTTCAATTTAGATTGACATAAAGCATTTTATTACGATTTTAGATATTTTATTATAAATTTGAAATTTGGTACATTTTCACATTTGGCAAATTTATAAGTTGTCAAATTAAATATTGCTTACGATATTTATTTGATCGATATTTATAAACTCAATCGCGTTTTTTTTAAACTTTTAAAAAGAATTGTCCAAATATTCTAATACTCAAATATCCAATTTATTTCATTTACTTAATGATCTTATTAAATATATTTAATAGATCACTTTTATCACTTGCTTGAATGTCTTAGAAACAAGATATGTATACAAATTAGAGTATATATTTTACGAAAATCATTTATGAAACAGAATTTGTACTAGAATCTAATGCACACTTTCAATTCTAATAAATATTTTAAACAATTTGTTTTACATACAAAAACATTGCAAAGTATATATTTAATAATTTTAAAAATATTTTCAATTAATTGCTTGTATTGATTCAATTACGTTTTGCATCTGCAGCTAATATTTTATAACTGTATTAAATGCATTTAGTTTGTAAATATTCACAATTCTGATTAAATAAATTAATTTAATTTATTCATTAAATGTAATTTTTAAAACTGAAGCTGATTCATAAAAATTATCAATTAATATGAATTTATAGAAATATTACATCTGTAGTTATATAAATAAATTTACTAACAATATTTAATAATTATAAAATTTTCATTTATAAATTATAAAACTTACTTTATGGTGATTTTTTGTAATAGAGGCTTTTCTTTCGATTTTTAAAATTTGAAAATCTTCTTGTAGTACCCACAGAACACGACCAACCATTAGCAAAAATTTAAATACTTTACTATATTGTAACATAACCATATCGTTAAATATTATATTTAAAGGCCATGAAATTTTATAATTTAATGACAAACAACTAAGTATTTCGGGGTTCGAAGTCTAAAATGAATAATAAAATCAATTATTATAAAATATATCCTATCGAATATTCATTTTATAATTGTTATCAAGAAAAATTTAAGAATTTACTTTTCTTTATTTTATTAAAATGAATTTTTCGTAGACATGTTTATACAATACCTGTAAGTGCGTTGGTATATTTAAAGCCGAAAGACTCAATAATTCAGAATTAGCATAAGTACTGCTAAGCGAACTAACAAGTGCTTTTTCTAAAAAGTTCGTTAAAGTTGATGAATTGAGAAGTTCACTGGGAGTTGTTACTTCGTACAGCTTTGTAAATAATGACTGCATAAGAGTTTTAGCAAATTCACCATTAAGTAAAAAGAAATAGCTACGCAAACTGTGCAGATGAGAGAGCATATTATGTTCAGTTAATAGGTACTGCAAAAGTATTACTGTAATGATTATTTATTCTATTAAGTAAAAAGTATTTTTCGACTGTTACCTTAATTATAGCACTATTTACAAGACGACTTTGTGCCGTTAGTGGTATCATAACAGATTTCTCCAGGTATACTTGTAGGGATGTTGTATCAATCATCTCAACATCATCAACAGTTAGTTGTTGAGTTTCAATAGATGGTGTATTTGGGGTGGAATCAAGCCCGATGAAGTTTGGAAATACTGGAGAACTTTGGAAATATTTGGAGCTTTGATATTGTGATAAATCTTCTGTTGACATTTCATTTGATGATTTAGCAAAAAGTATGTCACTACAAATTTTAATATATTCTTTAATAAGTTGCTCCTTCATATTGAGTCGTAACGAAAATATTTTTATCGTTTTATTTTAATATAGTTAAATTATATTTAAATTGCAAAAATATATATTTTTAAATAGTAAAATATTTAATTTTATCAAAATATCGTAAGTTCTTTGAAGGTAAAACAATGTACCCAAAAATAGAAAAAAAAATTGAAACAAAATAGTCAATGTATAATTAAAATAAATAGTTATATTTATAAATAAATGGAACTTTATAAATGCAAATTAAATTACTTTCAGAGAAATCAAATAATTAGCGTACATTTTTTATGACAATTTGCTCAAATAATTTCATGCTTTATAATTAAAATTTGTCCTAAGTTTCAAACATATTTTTAAAAAATATGAGGATCAATTAATTTATATGAAACAATATCAAGTTTCTAATAAAATTATATACTATAAAAATTCACACCTGTGATTTGTAATTTCAGAAAACGGAGTATTCTCGCAACTCTGTATTGGTATAGAACTACTATAGGTTGAAGCAGTGAAATGGTCGGTTGTAGTTGACATAGGTGTTTCTTTTGCTGGCTCATTATCAACAAATCTGTTTATTTCAAAATCAAATTGATCGGTATTGTGAGCCATATTCCGATTTCTATTTTTCTGCCATTCAGTCAAATTTTCTGTTTTCGCAGAGACAGGTTCGAGATCCTCCATCCGATTGTAAAAATGTGACATAATTTTGTTTCTATTTAGTTGGGCCTCTGTTAATAATGGTTTCTCTACCGTTTCACTTGCTTGTGGATCATTCCAATTCAAATGGGTGAGATGCTGCGTATTTCTCAATCGATTAATTTGAATCTCTGTCCTTGGTTCATTTAAGCAATCTTGATTTAGAAGGAAATACAAATAAATTTATTTGTAAACACTTAAGTTATAATGATTTTATGGAGCCAATATTTTTTTAATATAAAATATGTTTATAAAACATGACATTTTTACTTTACTTTAATTATATTAAATATATAATAAATACTATAATAAATAATAAATATTAAAATATTTTATTCATAATATTTGTATCTAAAGTTATTAAATTTTGAATAAATACTTAAAAAAGATAGTACCTTCATCTTTTATATGACGTGTTGCCGCCTCAACATTATCCCAATTTAAATCGATTAGATGATTAGTATTTCTCAATCTATTTATTTGAATCTCTGACATTTTAGGTTGATTTTCAGAATTGTCCATAGACACGAGTATATTAGTTTTATTGTTATTTGGTGAGACTCCGTATTCCTGTTGCAGAACTTTTAACTTGTTGCGTTGTGCTTCTGTCATGTTATCAGTTTTTGTGAGATTTAATAAATTAAGAGCTGTGTTTTCAATACAAGTAGCTTGAATTGTTTTGAAACCATCAAGTCTGTCAAGATCCTTTAAATTCTTCGTACAAGTTGTTCCAGGAATTTCAAGTATATTTGGTCGCACTGCTTTTATTGTATTTTGTTTGCTAATAGTTTTATCTGGTGAATTAATATTTTGTTTCTCTGTAATAGAAGTAACCATACTTTTAATTTCGAAATTAGATTCGTCAATTTTTATAGTTGTGGGATTACTATTTTCATCTGTATTCAGAACTACTGTTATTTGTGTACTATCAAGAGGTATAGAAATAGAAAGATTATTTGTATTTAGATTTCTTTCTTTTTCTGAATCATTATTGTTCTCTTTCAACATTACAGTTTCTTCAAATCTTTGATTTTTTATAACCTCTTCATTTATTTTTTGCTCTTCTTTTTTAGTACTATCAAAGTGAGCAAGTGGTTCGAATTTATCTGGTGTAGTGGCAAATTCTCGCTGCAAATCGGATATAGCCAAGATTCTTTCATCAAATAGCTTCATTCTACGTATTCGCCAGCTTGCATGAATACGACGTCTATTCGCTTCCTCTGCTAATTCGTTGTAATACTTTATAGTATTTTCTCTATAAATATAAATGACTTAAAGAAAATCGATTTTTCTTATTTATTTTTATTTTATATTATAAATATATAAAATACCTTTCTGCTCTCTCAATAAGTTTAGCTTCTTCTTCCTGCTTTAAAGCATTTTTTAAAAACACTTTATCAGAATTTAATTCTGCAATTCGGTCTCTTTCCTTTCTATTAGCAGCTTCTTCAGCTTGATCTTTCAACTGCTCTAGAAGTTGATTTTTCTCTTTTATAATTTGTTTAATAGCATCTTCTCGTTCTTCTACAATATCACAAAGATAGTAAACTTTCTTAATTTTTTGTTAAATTTTTGTTTAAGATAAGAATAAAAAATGCTTTAAATTCATAGGCTTACTTTTTAATCTTAATAAAGTATCTTTTTGTGCTTCAATCACGAGTTCAGCTCTTCTTTTCTCTGTTTCTTTTTCTTCTTGAATTGCAGAACATAACGATACTTTTTCACCTTGTTCAATTTCTCCTTTGATTATATATTCCTCATAGAATTTAGCTTGCTCTATTAACATACCCACACTCAAACAAACGCGAATTTGTGGTTGACTAGAGGCTGAGACTTGACACAATGGATTCTGAATATAATTCAATATAATTTAATTATTACCGTTCTTAAAGATATACATCATATATAATTACAAATGCATTAACAAATAAATAATTTCTTTATATTAGTTGTAGCAAATTCCGTTTGAAGCTTGAAAAAAATTAAAATATTAAAATCACTGGTTAATCTTAATTTAAAACTTCCTTATACTCCATATATATAATTAAATTATTTAAAAATAAGTAAGCTAACTTTTAATTTCAATAAAATATTTTTATTATGTGCATGCAATAATTAAAATAATTATGATAATTTAATGTGAAATAATTTACTTTAATGCAAAGTGAACAACTATTATATTTATATACGAACTTTAGGATTACATATTCTTAATAAAGCTACAGCTTTTCCACATTGTAAAATTGAATCCGTCAATTCGGATAAGAATCCAGGTACCGATTTCTGATTAATACCGAAAGCTCTTGTCCAGAATCGATGGCCTCGAATTCGAAGATATTGTGTTCTCACTTTTATAATAAATTCTTCATAAATGTCTGTGCATTCTCCTTCAAAAATCCAACGTTGTAGAAAGCTATAATAATAAAAATAATTTTTTTAATTAGTTTAATAAGGAATGATTCAATGTAACTATGTAATTTAAATTGTTTATTTTATCAAGGCAATGTGAGATGTACAGAAAGAATTCAATAAAATAAGTAAATAAAATGAATATTTAATCTATACTAACCGAAAATAGACTTCACAACAGGTTTTTAAAGTTGAATAATAAACTAAGGCAACATTTTGTTCTGTAACTCTTGTTACTTCTTTATAAATATGTGTTAAAATACCAATACCTTCGCCCAGCGAAGTTAATATTTGATTATCACAGCGACAAAATCTTGCCACTTTATTAATTAAATTACCTAATGGTCTTACTCTATTTAAGAATTTCAACAACCCTATATTTCCATCTTCAACTATTGAAACTCGGAGAATGGCGGCATGATAAAAGAGTAGAAATTCTTTTATACTACTACAAAGTGCCTACATAATTTAAAAAATTTATTATTAAATTTACTAATAAACATTTTATTTTATTAATATTACCTTAAAGATTAACCCTTCTATCTGTAGTTTTCCACTTTTTTTATCAGTAGCAATAAGAATAGAAAGATTTTTAAAAGAGGTACCCCAATGAATAATCTCGTAACTCAGATTTTCCAGAGTTCCTGTGCTTATACTATTTATTGCTATATTTTTTTTCAATTCAAAGCCAGTCTACAAAAATATTATAATACTAAAAATTTGAAAAGTATTTATTGTACCAATAAATATTATACATACCGATGAATTGTAAATAAAGGTATTAGATTCAACTCCAAGTAGTAGAAGTTTGACATTATTTATAAATTCTTTACTAGAAATTTCAGTAATTACATAATTTGCAGCAATCTAAAAATTTACTATTATTACATACATGTAAAATATATATTTTATTATTTTATTAATTTTTTAAAGTAAATGACAAACTTTATTTGGTAATATGTTATCATGTATAATATTCATTAAATGTAATGTAGCTTCAATTGATTCTGAAATAAATGGAGGTTCTTTAGGTGGTTCAGATTTGCCTAAAGTTTCCCAAGTTCTGTGGTTTGATAGAGGTGATGTTTTGTCCATATTTTCCCATATTTTATCTAAATTCTTCACTAGTTCTTGACTTTCCTGTTTCTTAATTTCATAAAGTTCAGTTTCACTTTTATCACAATGTATAAATTTCGTTTTAGCAATTTCTTCTTTATAAATTGGAATTTGTTCATTTACTTTAGTTATATCCTGATGAAAATAATAAAAAATTATGTAATTTAAAATATTATTTAATTATTCAATTTTAAAGTATTTTATATTATACAATGTGTTAATTCTTACTTTTATTTGTGGTAAAGAAGAATGGATTATTAAATTATTGCCATTAAGGCTAGTTATGTTTCTTGATATGTTTGATATCACTGAATCACTATTATATCTATAAAAACAAATAGTTAATAGTTAAAATGTAACATTATAGCATAAATTAAAAAATCGAAAAAAATTATATATAAATAGAGAAAATTTATAACAATATATATTATTTAAAAGTTTATTTTTTACCATTAAATTATAACTTATTTTACATAAAAAATAAATTACCTCATATTCTGTATATTGGAATTTGATGCTGATGTAAATAGACCAAGTAGTGATAATTTACTTCCTGGCTCAGCTGTGCTATACTTAGTAAAACTATCACGTTCTAATTTAAGATTTGATTCAAATTTTTTTGGTAAAAAGAATGATTCAATTGGATATATTTGAAAAGGTGGAACTTCTCCTTTATTATAAATTACTTCTGGAAGTAATGGATGTGATTTTCCGTAATGAAAAATATCCTAAAATATAATTGATTAATTAAATTATAGTTTATATACCAATATTTTTTATACCTACCATACAGTAATCATCTTGAGATTTAATCAATTTTAATTCATTTAAAAATTGCAAAGTAGAATAGGTCGTGGTGTTTGGTTCCAATCCACTATCTATAAATTCATCTAAATATCTTTCTAGTTCTGTAGCTTGTGAAATCAAACCCGCTCCTACTTTTATGACAAATGCATGTTTCAATAATTCTAATATTGGATCACATGACTTGTTATTGTTTACTACAAGTGTAAAAGTAATATTAATTCATGATTCAATATTTTAATAAAATAAATAACTATAAAATTTATTATATTATTTTTATTGTATTACTTATAAATAAAAGTAAAAATGCTACCTTTATAATATCTTATACGTAGCTTGGAAGTCACTTAAGAAATTAAAATTTAAATAAAGGAGATTTGCTGGATTTGATAAAAATTAATTTACAGCAGATAAACAAAATGCAAGAATAAGTAACTGTAGTAAGATTTTTTAATAAATAATTAAAAATGATTAAGATTTACCGTAATTTTGACTAGACTTTTTTAGTAATATCTCATAAGCTTTAGATTTGAGTTTCTGCAAATGCTTGTTATTGATGTGTGGAGGCAGATAAGGGTGTTCTTCAACCTGATAATGTTTATAGAATAAACTTTTGCATAACTGACCGATGAGGCCATAAACATCGTTATCTCTAACCTCCGAATCCATTATTTTTCTTTTCATCTTAGATTTTCTATTTCAGAACTAAAAGGCATTGTGACCTTTGTAAAGTGATTACATTAACCTTTCTGCAACATATACATGTATCAAATTAAGGCAAAAAATTAAAACATAAAACATCCCCACTAACTGACTGAATACAATGCATGGAAAGTCGATTCTTAAAAACTTACAAGAGTAAACGGTAATGTTCTCGTCTTTTACGCATAATATACGTTAATATCTGTTAGCGATAGTGTTGCATGACAAGCATTAATTATGCATGATCATATTAAATGTGAAGTTCAAGCATTAAGAGTTTTATATTATTTATTATTATTTTTTTTTTATTGTGAGAGCTAATTTTACAATTACAACTGATTTTACCAATTGTATGACTCGAATTATATCATTATGTCAATAGTATTGATATTACTGTAACATATTCTTTGAAAAGAATAAATGTATCATCTTTTTTTTAAATGATTTGTACAAAAAATAAATTTTTATAATTCGATTAAAGTTGTTAAATATTGTTTTTTAAATATATTGAATGCTTTAAAAAGTTGCATAAATAGTATAAATGAATAGTATTCTCTTATTAATTAAAATAATAGAAATAGTAAAAAAATAATACAAAGGAATAACATGTTGAAAAATAGTTTTGATAAAAAAAAATTTTGATATCAAAATGCTTCGATCACTAAATATAAATTTACTGTGTAGATTCTCGACTTAAAGCAATACATTTAATATTGTTCGCTATTAATTATTTTCTGATTTTCATAGATTGATGTTACATTGTATTTTAAACTTAATATACTTATAAAAATCCACAATAAGGATAAAACCATTTGTATATAAAATTATGACCTTTATAAGAGTGAACAATATAAATATTATTATAATAAAATTATTTGTTTTCTATTGAAAATTATATACTGAATTAAATAGAATTAAATATAGCAGTCATCCGTTTAGTATCCAAAAAATTTTATGTACAAGAATAAAAATCTTCGAAATCTTTGCTTTGCATTTTTTAGTATTAATCTTTTCATATATCGTTTTTCATATAATTTAATCACAATTTAAATTTTATAAAATTAACATATATAATCGTGCCTCTCGTAAAAGCATTAATACAATACTAATGACAATTTTTCTAATAACTCTAATTTCAATATGAATCAATAAAACTTTGTGCTCACATGATAGCTCATTCGATTGTTACAATTTGTATATACATCAAAGAACCAATAAAGTTTAATAATGAGATATAAGTTATGGATACAGTGAGCGTCGCTTAGCAACTTTATGTGTATACACAAAAAGCCATATCGTCCTAAACTCACGAGGTTTGCTGTTGTAACTTATACAAGCTTGGATAACTTATTAAAGGCAAATTTAATAGGGTTCAATAACATGAGGGAAAATGTTGCTAAAGTATTTGGGATCAATTCTACCGGCCCACGTAAGTTAGCATGCATTTCGATTTTTTTTTTTTAAATTACGAGTAACTTTGTTGTTACACATCTTTTATCAATGTCCAAACTTAACCCTCAAATCAAACCTTGCAACTTCGATTTTTTCGTAATAGAAACTTTATACCTATAACCATTGTTTATTATCAAATATTTTCAAATAGCTAATCGACCATTACAATCTGTATTATTGTATTATAAATGATTTATTATCAAAATGTGATGCCAATAACGAATTTAATTAGAAAATCAGATAATAAACTGTGTGAATAATAATTATTTTCGTACTGATTATTTTATAAGGACTGCGAAAATCGAGTTATGGCAATCGCTTGGTCACCAAATAGCTTGAAATTAGCAGTTGCCTCCACTGATCGCTCGATTTACCTTTTCGATGATAAAGGTGTAAAGAGGGATAGATTCTCTACAAAACCCGTTGATTCGAAAGTAGGTGTTTATCGGTTAATTAACCTTATAATAAAGGAAAATTAAATTGTGTTACATAAATAATATTGATATTTATTTAACTGAAATGGCGTCAATTTTTTCGTAGAATGGTAAGAAAAGTTACTTGGTGAAAGGTATTGCATTCTCACCGGAATCGACGAAAATCGCTGTTGGTCAAACAGACAATATCGTCTACGTGTATAAAATAGGCGAAGAATGGTAATGAATTATCTCTAAGTTTATAGACACTTCATTCAAGTTATTATAAATGCAACTTATGCTTGATTTACATTTATTGAATAATCCAATTTGCGATTGAATAATAGAATCAGTAAATAAGCAATTCTTCTTTTCGTTATAAAAACTCCGTCACACGAGGAAAAATACTGTTTCGTTGATCGTAGGGGCTCAAAGAAGGTGATTTGTAACAAGTTCCCACAGAGTTCAGCTGTAACATGCCTGGCTTGGCCAACAGAAGGTCCAATAATTGTTGGCTTGGTAGACGGCAAAGTACGGGCAGCCATCATCAAGGCCAATAAGGCTCAGACCCTTTACGCCGCGGATTCCATGACTCTCGCCCTTGCCACCAAGTGAGCAGAACTCCTTATTTTCCTACCCCCTACGGATAAATAACAAAAATAATATCGATGTTCGGTTGTTTATAGCTCCCGCGGTACTGGCTTTTTATCGAGCCATGCGGATGGTAGCGTGATTCGCTATTACGTATCAGAGGATGGTACTGCGGAGACTTCGGGCCGGGTATTGATGCATCCCGTATCCGCCTACGCTCTTTCTTGGCTCCAATCACATATTCTTGCTGCCGGCTGTGACAAGAAAATTATATTCTATGACTCGCGGGGCAAGAGCGTGAAAATTGTTGATTACAGCAGGAGCTCCGATGAGAAGGAGATGACCGTCGCCTGTTGCAGCCCCAGCGGACAGAGCGTCGCCGTTGGCTCTTGGGATAAGGTATTCTTTCTTTCTTTCTCTTTTACTTTTTCATTATTTATGAATACAGACGTTTACACTTGTAAAAGCTTAACGCTAAATTAATATATGATAAAGGATGCCCTAAGCAAATAAATCCACTGCATTCAATCACATTCTGGTTCTAACCTCAGCTAAATCTGTTCGCGAGACTATCTTTTTAGTGAACTTTATATCAATGCGCAAAAAAAGTTGAGAAACTTCTTGCAGTAACAAAAAAACTCAAGACTTCCGATACATTTGAAAATTTCGAATTTTTATAAGCAACTCGTACTTTAAGAAAGATAAATTCTACAATTAAATTCTACAATTATGGCGTACGGTCCCATTAAGCAAGCCCAGATTTCGACAGAAAATTAATCAAAAAGAGTACCATTGATTGTGCCAATAGTCGTCTTATAGTATTGCTAGCGATAAAACTTGAACCAAACTTATTCGTCTCTTTTTCATTTTTTATTTTAGATAAGAATTTTCGATTGGAGTCCTCGGAAGAACATTTGGGACGAAACCAATGTAAAAATTCTAACCAATTTTTACACAGTTACAGCCTTAGCCTGGAGAAGAGATGGTACGTAATATATTACGAGACTATGTTAACATAATTTGTTAACATACTAATGAAAATTCCTTACGCTTATTCTCTGAATGTTGAATTATATTAGAATTAGAATCGATATGAATGAATTAATTATCACTACGCATTAAAATAATAACATGACTCGTTCGTACTTTTAAATAAAATAAACGAAAAAAAATGTAAGGGTAGGTTCGAAGCTGGTGGTAGGCAGTTTGTGCGGTGCAGTAGAGCAGTTTGAGACGATTCTCCGACGAACCATCGTCCGCGGAGGCCATGAGGTGGCATACGTCGGGCCCAGCCAATTGGTGATAAGGTCACTCGAGGGTAAAGGACGTCCAGTGATTATTAAGTCCTTGAACGGCACCGAGATCGAGGACGTGAAAATTCTCGGCCGGGGTGATAATCGGGTTGTCGCCCGTACCGCTGTCTCCCTCCTTATCTGCGACATCCAGCAGAATCTGCTCAGTGAGATTCCCTGGGAGGATAAAAATGGTGAGTCTTGATCCCAAGGTAATTAGATAAGAATAAACGATGAAGCTCGAGATTTCATTGACGTTTGAAAGAGAAACGATTTGAGAAAACTCATATATTATCTAAACATCTACTCAAAATCAATTTTAATCGTCAACGAGAACTATCTTTCTATTGTAATTAATAATGGTCACTCTCACAAGAAAAATTACTTCGTGGCGGGTTATTCTATTTATTATATTTATCTATTTTCTAGATTCTATTTATTGCATATTATCACGAATGAACTATTTTATAAATGGAAAAAATTAGAAATGACAATCCATATTACACAATCTTCTCATTTTTAAAAAGTGAATGCAAACTTTAAATACAATATCGAAGGTGGCGAGAAGTTCTTTTTCGAGTACCCGGGCGTGTGCCTAATTTTCTATGCGGGTGAGTTGACGATCGTTGAATACGGAAGGAACGAGATCCTGGGTACGGTGCGAACCGAGTCGGTAAACCCTCATGTGACGAGTGTACGGATAAATGAGCGCCAGCTCCTACCTGGGGTAGATAACAAGAGGCTCGCCTATCTTCTGGACTCACGGACGGTGCGTATCATGGATCTGGTGACTTCGGCCACAGTTACTGTAATTGGGCACGATGCCCGCATCGACTGGCTCGAGCTTAGCGAGACCGGCACTCGGCTCTTATCACGAGATAAGCGAAGCAGACTCTGGCTGAGCGACGATAAGGGTAAGCTGGTTTACTACGTGCACTAAGAAGCTAATCTGTCAAGTCTATTGTTAAGTACAACATATGTACAGTTTATTGTTGAATGTGCGCAAATGATTGTTTTTAATGAGCCATTGTACGTAGAATTGAATGTTATAAGTACATAAGTAGTGTAGGTGAGAATGAAGACTCTCCAAAAAGGAAATTGTTTATTTTTTTCTTTATAAGTTTTCTTTAAGTTTTCTTTTTAATTTTTTCTTTTTAAGAAAACTTTTGTCTACGTTATTTTCATACGTGTATAGTTTACATATTTAAGCGTATTTTATTTTAAAAATTCGATATATATATTCATCATCATACATAGAGACAAAGGAAAAAGTTAATTATAAATATTAAATTCAAATAAGTTAAAGCTTCGATAGGTACTATAAAAAAAAATGTTAACGGGTAGAAAAAAATTATGAGATATTAATAAAATGAAAGTTTGTCCATATGGGTCATTGTCCTGTTGCATTTTTTGCTCCTTGACCACATTAATTCCTCTCCGAGATTTTTCATAGGCGGTCACATGCTGCTGCTCTCGGGTGCGAGCTATGTTAGCTGGGTGGTGGGAAGCGACGTGGTGGTTGCACAGTCGGGGATGAACCTCGTGGTCTGGTACAACGTGGACGCCCCGGACTCGATGAATACGATCCCGGTGAAGGGTGACGTAATAAATATCCTTCAAGAGGGTAGAAGGACGTCGGTGATGGTGGAGGAGGCTGGCACCGAGGTTGCCTATCTCCTCAACGAAGACCTTATTGAGTTCGGCACCGCACTCCATGATAACGACTTTGGCCGGGTCGTGCTATTTCTGGAGGAACTCGGCGACCAGCCCCACGTCGAGGCCATGTGGGAAAACGTCGCCACTAACGCCATGAACGAGAGGTCGGTAATATTCGTCTTATTTACCATGAGATGACAAAAAGAAAAACAAAAACTTTGAACTTCGAACGATCTATTTTGTAAGGATAATTGTGTTTTTTTTTAAAAGTTACGCGAGGACGAAGGATTATGAGCATTTATCCGGTGAGATATTTGAATTTTCTGAGTTAAAAAACATTGATTATTTACTTATAAAATTAGAAAGTCATTAGAAAGTCAATCTCTGTCTCTGGGCATTAATGAAGCAAAGTATTTTGTAATAGAGAAACATTCATAAGAAATGGATGGGAACAACGCCATTTACATTTCAGAGCAATGATAGTTGCCGCGAGAAGTTATGCAGCATTGGGCGATGTCGCATGCTCGCGTCACCTAAAGGAGATCGTCCAAATTGGCGAGAAGTACGCGGAAGAGACTGGAAACGAGCCCTTTGCCAGCCCCGATTTCTGGGCTAAAATGTCGATCCTCAAGGGTGACCTCAAAACCGCCGAGGCAGTTTATCTCGAGCAGAACGAGTTGTCCAAGGCTCTGAACATGTACCAGCGCTATTGGCAGTGGGAGGACGCCCTCATTCTCGCCCAAAATCGACGCTGGTCCGGCTTGCCTCAGCTTCGGTATTTTGATTTAAGAATCGACAAACAGGCAAAGTTGATGAAAGTAAAATGTCGGTTATGTGTAGGGATAAGCATCTTGGCTGGCTAATGGAGAGTGGCCAGATGGCTAAAGCTGCATCAATCATCGAGGCGGAGGACTCGCGGCGCGCGGTCAAGTTGTATTTGAAGGCGCGACGCCCGGGTCGCGCAGCCCGGCTTCTCCTTAGCCAGGACGAGCTGACGGACGATGACAAACTCGTGACCGACGTCGTAACTGCGCTTAAGGCCACAGATCTCATGGAACTCGCGGGCGAAATTTACGAGAGAATCGGCGATCATCATGCTGCGATCGTTGCGTACAGCCAGTCAAATATTTATGCACGTGCCTTAGAACTGGGTTCGTTTTATTTATATAAATGAATACGATAAATATAAATATAAATGAACACGATATATATAAATAAAATTAGCACAATGAATATAAATATAAATAAAAGTGAACACGATCAAATAAATATATGATAAATAAAACATTTATTTATCTGCGTTCGATTCACGAGGTAGTTTGGGTGATGGTAAAGGAGTTCGAAATCTTTGATCGATGTATAAATCGACGTAATTTTAATTTTTTGTTCTCTGGATTTTTATTTATTAGCGAGAAATACAGAGCCTAATTCGGTGGTGAAGTTGGAAAAGGATTGGGGTAATTATTTGATGTCAAGCGGACAATACGATGCAGCCATTAATCACTTCATCGAGGCTGGAGAAACATCGCGAGCATTGAGCGCTGCGGTGATGGCACTCCAATGGAAAAAAGCACTGCAAATAATACAAGTAATGCCGCCAAAGTTAAAATTTGAAAGTGACAAACTTCGCGTATTTCGATTGTATATTTTGCACACTCATTTGTCGCATGTTGAAGTTTGAAAAATTTCACGTGAATAATATACAGTCAATTTAGCATACACTGTAAAACATTTTAAGCTCGTGCTTTCCAATATCATTGGAGCATATTGTTTGAAATACTAATAACTTAACTAACTAGATTTTTTTAACTATAATAATCGCTTCATATTTTTTTGCTGGATTATGCACATATGTTTGTAATATGATACAAATGATTGTGAACAAATGCATCGGGATGGTATTTTAAATAATACGTACTTATTGAATTGCATGAAGAATAACGATAAAGTTCGGGAACGAACATTCGGTAATTACACAACAAGAGTACTCGAGTGAGCCTTAAAAGCCTTAAAAGCCTTAAAAGCCTTAAAATCGATCAATTGTTCGGAACATAGGTGATCGAGCCAGAGAACGATCCGGAATTTCGGAGCCACTGCGAACGTGTAGCGGAGCACTTCGCCTCGGTGAACGAGCTGGGGCTCGCCGAGAAATTGTTTCTACGAGCAGGTTTAGCGCGACGAGCTGTGGAGACCTACGCCGCGGCCAATGCCTGGCAGAAAGCTCAAGAACTCGCCCAGCGCGAGCTCGAGGCCACAGAGGCACGAGAACTGCTCGCGGGACACGCGGAGATGCTTAAGACAGCAGGAGATTATCGACATGCGGAGATACTATATGCAGCCACTGAGCAGCATGATGAGGCCATAGGCATGTATAGGCATGCTGGGCTTAGGCAGGACATGATTCGTCTAGTCGCTAAATTTAGGTTCGTATTCGTCCTTACTTTTGATCTTTATGACACACAGTTCCGTCTTGGAGTGGTCCTCGATAGTACTTTGATCACTCATCTCGTCCAGTTTGATTTTACTGTTTCCGTGTTACAATCAACATTTAATTAAAAGCATAATTAACGATTAATTAAACGACTAAACAATGATTACAAGTACAAATTAAAATTAATAGTCTTTTAGAAAAATTTTAAAGGCATGTTTGCTTCTTCAATTAGAGATCATTGGAACGCAATTTTGACAGAGTTTATAACACGCGCATTTTACATCCAAAGTCTACCACTTTATTTGCGAACAAGTGTATTTCCATATATAATCGTTTTACGATAAAATCTTTCTCATCAAAATGAGAAAGAGCCCCGTTCTCTCCGTATTGTCTTTGAGGTACAAAAATGAAAACAAACCCACCAAGCTTAAGGCTTATCAAGTACGTTAGGACGGATGTTGCGTTTATAAGTGCAGACCAGAGCTTCTCAAAACCACTCACGCTCACCTCGCTAAGGAGTTGGTGAGCACGGGAAAGCCGAGAGAGGCTGAAGAGCACTTCCTCGGAGCCGAAGACTGGCGTGGCGCTGTCGCGGCTTATCGTAGCGCGAATATGTGGGAAGACGCTTTGAGAGTCGCAGAGAAGGCGTCGGGCGATAAGGCAGCACAACAGGTAATCCATCACATATTGGTAATTCGATTGAGAATCCGCTACTCCAGTTAGAGCCACGACTCGTTAATTGGATTTTTCGTCGATAGGTGGCACTGATGTGGGCGCGGACCCTCGCCCCGGAGCTGGGTGCGAGGCTTTTATCGCGATTGGGACATTTGGACGCTTGTCTGCAGCTGGCGAGCGAGGCTGGGCTCTTTGACTGGGCTCTCGAGATCGTGAAGTACGGCAGCGGTGAGCAACAGAAGGACATACACTATCGGTACGCTATGGCCCTTGAAGACAACGGTCGCTTTCCTGAAGCAGAGCGCGAGTTTCTCAAAGGTAAGAAGTGTCTTGTCGCGCTTTGGCCTCCTCGTCATAAAATAATTAGAAAGAAAGAAAAAGGCAGAGGAAGAAAGAAAAAGTCAAGAAAAAGTAAACATATGCCTGAGTGTCATTTAAAAACGATTTATTCTCGTTGAAATTTCGCTTAAAAATAAAATAAAATGCTAAAAATCACCGCATATTTCGAATCGTTAACGTGTAAATTCACACATTCGGATAAGCTGAAATTTTAAATATCTCATTCTCTATTATAATTTTTAGAGAGAGAATGAAATTTGTTTTATTTGCAGCGGGTAAAGCGATGGAGGCCGTGCAAATGTACATCCATACACGGGATTGGCAGGCGGCGGAAGATGTCGCGCAAAATCATTGCAAAGATGGTTTGTCGCAGGTGCTCGTCGCCAAGGCGTCAGAGGCTGTTCAAGCCCTGGATTATGCAACTGCAGAGTCATTGTTGCTGCGCGCACACAAACCCGATATCATCATCGACCATTACAAGGTTTTTTAATACTTTTAATCGTAATAAGACCATCGACAACATTGCATTGGCAACTTTTGTGCTCGGAATTTCCACACAGTGAATTGTTATTGCTTTGGTCAAGCGACTCGTTGCTGTAAATATAAAAAATAATTGTTGTATAATGGTATTTTATACTTTCTACGAGTTTATCAAATCTTTGAATAACCAACGAATAGAGATTTAATGAACTTTTGAGCTGTGCAGCTTTTACATATATGAATGTCTAATAATTAGATTTTCGGAAAGTATAGGGGTAAGAGTACAGTAGCAATTTACTACAGTAGCAATAGAAGTTTTTTTTACCAAGTCCGCAACTTATTATTCATCATTCTATTATATAATATATGTTCGTATCCAATCAATTATCACTTGGAAAATAGAATTCTAATAAAATGTCAAGTCTTGAGTCGTAATGCCATAAGGGCAACATAATACTTCATCAGAATTTTGCAACTGCGTAGGCTCGTAATCGAGTGAACGTATCGTGAGCAATTATTATTGCCACAGAGTGCGGGTATGTTCTCCGAGGCGATGCGCGTCTGCCGCGAGTACTTACCGAGTCAGGAGGCGGCTCTTCGCCGAGAGCTGGGGCAACGCGCCGGACAATCGGACATTGGCGATGGGAGTACCCTCATCGAGGATGCGCGCCGCTGGCTCGAGCTTGGAGAAACGCAGGAGGCTCTTGACCTGCTGCTCCGGGTGTCAAGTAATCCGAAGCCGGCGCTCGTGCTTGCTGCGGACATCCTTCTGCACAGGGCCGGTGCGGAACTCGCGGCCCAGTTAGGGGCCGACCTAGGCTCTAAGCTCTTCGTCGTTAACGAGCATGCCCTCGCTGCGCAGGTATGAGAACACCTTTTCCCGGACTGTTCTGCAATCATTGCCATTGAGCGCACGTACGCAGACATGCGCATATATAATAATATGGAATAATAATTAACATAGGATCTTTAAAATACATTATAATATATTAGAAAAGAAAAAACTTTCATACTTTGATCATTACTGTAACGAATATTAATTTTAATTTTGCTTTACAAGTTTGAAACATTAAATTTGTTAAAATTATTAAATTTATTAAATTTTAAATATTAAATTTGGCCATCGCAATAGACGACCTACGATTTCGACTTGTCACAGTGTTGTTTTTAGTCATCACATGACAGTTACATTATGCTGCCTCCAAATTTCGATCGTTCGTAAAAATAGCTGTAATATGGGTCGGGAAAATCATCTGCCATTATATTGTAAAAAAAATAGAACTTAATGTAACGATATCCGAGTCCTGCAGGTATTTCTTCAAGCCAACCGTATAAAAGAAGCGGTAAATGCGCTGGCTGCTGCGGGCGACTGGACAAAAGCCAAACGCGTGGTTCACGAGCTCGCACCCGATCTTGAGATATATCTCGAAGACCTCTATAGAGAGGCAATGATTAAGGAAGGACAGGTGGAGAATCTCGTCCGTGTCGACGCCGAGGCGGCTATCGATATGCTAGTGCGCAAGGGACAATGGGGTCAGGCTTTCGAGACCGCCAAGGCTCAAGGTAGCCCATTCACTTGCCTTTCATTAAATTTCAATGTTAATGTCTTAAGAATCATTTTACATTGGCAAATTGGTTCTCTGCGCCCGCAGGTCACACGGTGCTACACAAGTACCTAGCTCAGCGAGTGGCTCAGCTTCTCAAATCTGACAATGTTGCAGACGCTCTGCAGCTGTACTCACAATATGGTGCTCCTCCGATAAGTCAAAATTACAATCTCTATTATCACTTGAGCGAAAGAGTCCTGAATTCGAACGAGACCCACACTGAGTACTTGTACTTAGCCAAACTTCGAAATATTCTACTGAGTTTGGTGAAAAGCCTCGATGTTTCAGCCGCGTCGGTGAGTATACGTATAAGTGAGAAAGACTTGCTAATGTCCGAGATTTACCCTGTCCTGTAATTAAAAGACATTGATTGGTATAACACCGATGCATCCCGTTTTACCACGCATAATAGGTATTGAAAAAGTTCGAGAGGATATTACGCGCGACCCATTACTCGGCGGTGTACTACTCCTGCAGGGACATTCCGCACTCCACTCTCGCAGATCTTCCCCTTAAGACGTCTGTGTCGCTGTTGCGCTACACGGATATTCTCCTCGCCGACAGATGCTATTATGAAGCGGGCATGGCGGCGCGTAACGTCGGCCTCAGCAGCGAGGCGTTCGTCTTTCTCAATCACTTTCTCGACCTAGAGGAATGCGTCGAGGAGGGGGATGGTAGCGTCCTAGGTGCGCCCTTTCTTTATTTCATAATTTAAACAATTTCAGGTGGAGGTACTTATATTGTAAAAGCATGCAATGTTAGTCAATATGAAGTCGTTGATTTAAAATTAAAAAAAAATTAATTCATGAAGTACCATTGGCAATATGTAGTAGGAGGAAAAAGTGAAAAATCTGCACAAAAATAACTATACTTCCACAGATATGGAGGACCTGCGGGTGACGGATTTTCCATTAGAGGTGCCGCTGCCGTCATCGCTGAGCCTCGATCGAAACCAACGCGAAGAAGTGCGCGAATGGGTGCTAACGGTGTCGATGGACCAGCGGGTAGACCAAGGTCTGCCTTTGGATCAGCGAGGCGTCTACGTCGGCTCCCTGTCGAGTCACGCGGACTCAAGCACGAGCCCTCTGCCGGAGTGTGTCCTAACAGGATATCCGGTGCGCGGATCCTCCGTGCAATTCGACGGAAGCCGAGGAGTCGCTGCCCGGGACGATTGGAACAAGTTCATCACTGTGGCGCGTCAAAGTCCTTCTGACTCGGACCTCAACGATGTGCTCGCCTTCATCCAGGATTGGTGCGGCACCGCACCAAGTTATGTTTTTTAAGAGTGCCGTTGCGGTTATAGAATCAACAATAACAAACGCACAATTGAATTGGGTGGAAAATAGTAACCAGATTGGTTTACGAGGGATGTTAATAAGTAGCATAATATTACTAATAAATATCGGAAATATTGGCGGAATAAACAGATTTTATGGGAGCTTCAGAAGTTTGTCACAGTTCATTGATATGCATCATTACATGTGCAATGGTTAGAGATATATGCAAACAAAAGGTTTTACATTGAGTTTGTTAAAAAATAATGTGTAGTCTGTAAGTTACACTTATATAACATTCTACATTATTGTTAATAATTACCAAAAATTCATAAAGAGTATTATTAGACGATATAAGAGTATTAGCATTATTAGACGATTGAAATCATTTAGAATGACTTACATTTTTTTTAATTATTGAATATTTTAGAATATTGCAGATAACATTCATTATTAACCATACGAATTAATAACTTTTAATAAACTATTTTTGTATTGAGAATAAAAATACTTCATTATAATTAATTTTTTAATACGTATACTCCGACAATCATAATTTTCACAAATTTTAATAAAATTTAAAACAAATCAAAACCAAACCAAACTAAACAAATCGTGGCTTCAAATGTAGGAGTTTAAATAAAAGATTACTAGGGAAATTTACGAAAAACTCGAATTCGAATATAAAATTCAAATCAAATGTCTAAATCTATGAAAACGTAATTTTAATTTTTTTTAACACGATATAGGATGATGTAACCTTGTAAAATATTGTTATAAATAAATAGAAGTCGCATATACTAAAATGGAAACATAAAAATGAATATAATTATATACAAAATATTTATAAAATTATATTTTCTAATTTATTCTAACCTATTGCCATTAACATTTTTATATTTATTTTAATACAAATTTTCTTAAAAATGTACTACAAATAGTTTTGTTAAAATTTGTAAAAATGAAACTGTGAATAAGACTATTCTGAATAATCTAATCATCATTTTATTTATTTCATAATCTTTATTTCTCGTATTTTCAAACCATCTCTGGCAGTATACCGAATCAAATTATGTAATATAAACGGATGTACAAACAATTTTAATACATTTTCATACTATCTTATGGAAACCAATAAGGAGAAATTGTATATTAATCTTGTAATACATAAAAACGTATGAAATATTTAACAGTTTTATAATTGAATCCTGTTACTTTTTTTAATAAACCAAATTCTATAATTGAATTTTATTAATTTTTATTTTTCTTAATATTACAATAAAAATTACTTATATAAAACACAAATATAGACGTAGAAGTTTTATAAAAAATTCTTTATTTCGTACCATATACAACTAATTCTACTTTATTTATTTTATAATTTTATAGAAACATAGTATTTATAAAATAAAATTGTATTATCAATGACTTGAAAATCTTATATTACTATTCAAATACAGATTTACTACAATAGTTTTGTTTTGTTCTTTCACTCATTTTTTTTTTAAATGCTTACAAATCAGGGTTCATTATAATTAGTTATGATATTAATTGCTTTTAGTCTGAATGAATAATAATGGTTTTGAGATAAATTTAATATAAATTCTAATTTATATATAGACATTATTTTTCGAATTGAATAATTAATCCCATAATATACTACAGATACCTTTTTTATAATAATTTTAATATTACTTGGAGCATTTACAGAATTCGGCATCTGGATTTTTATTTTCTTTGTCTATTTCATCTTTATATGCACAAAATACTTTACACGCTGCTTTTGTAATTTGATAGTTCACTCCATAGTGTAAATTATCTTGAGATCTTTCGATAATTTTCATTCCCGATCTTAATATTGTGTCCTTAGATTGAGTGTCCATGAAAAAAAGTAATTTATATAGAATTATAGTTATCCATATTTAATAAAAATGTTAATTAACTTAACTTAAATATTATTTAAGTTATTTATAGTAGCTTATTTACTAAGTAATTGTGGTGTATTGTTAACGAATATAAATTTATCGTTGAAAAACGTATTTAATGAAAATTTGAATGATGAATCAAATTAAAGGAAATATTTAAAACAATATAGTAAAAATTAATTACAACTTTCACTGTAATATTTTGATAAAAAGTATTACCTTAGTCTCAGGTACGATGCAAGTTGTATTACCTCCGGTATCTTTGTTTATTTGCCAGATACTTATATTGTTTTTTATGTAAATCCAATCTTCGTCAATAATCATGGAGTTTATTTGTGAAATCGGAGATTTAACGATCAGTGTTTTTATATCAGTACCATTTAAATTACTATATTGAATTTCTCCGGAATCGGTGAACCAGTAAAGTCGATCCTTATTATTATCGATTGCAAGCCCAATGATGTTTCCCGAACCAATTATATTCAACTTCATAGGATCATAGCCACCAACTTTCATGCATGTTATTGTGGACTTATTGAATAACGCGTTGAAAGTCAATAAATAAAGAAATCCTGTTTTAGGATGAACGACTAAGGAGAGGGGTCGATCGATTGTACGTAAATTATCTGGTTTGACAAAAGCTCGACGTTTGAAAGTCGATGGAACGTTGACGGCACCAAGAACATATGTACCGTTACTACCTGTTCATAATATAAATATATATTATTCAAATATCACCTTAAATATTTTTTTCTTTAAATTTAGCGTTTATTTGTAAACAAAGGTTTTGAGTAATTGTATGTAAAAGAAATTATATTATCATTCTTATAAATAATTAATGCTATTATTAATTATTAACCGTCATAATACAAAATTGAATAAAATTAACCGAGTGTATTGAGGTTATCATTTAAAATGTTATTTAATATGTAAATTACTATTTATAACACATGAAAATACTTTAAAAGTATATGGTAACCTATTATTATAATAAAAACAATTTATTGTTGTTTGTTTGAAAGTTCTTCTACTTTATCTACCTAAAAGTTTAGTAGTATAGATTTTGCCAGACTGCCAGTCGTAAGCCAAATCCTTGTAGCAATCAGATTGGAATCTTGCAATACTCCAACACCCCCTCAGATTTTCATCTAGGTCTATTTGCAATAAATTACGACATTCCAAATATAATAGTTTATTGGTAAGAGGATTAAAATCAATGGATGCAATTTGATCCTTTTCCAAGATACCCCAGACAAATTGCGGTGGAAAGTTATAAGTTTTGTTATCAGTTAATGGATTTAGAGTTTTGCCTCTTATATAATTATTACTTTCATAGACAAGATACTTAAGAATAGGTTCACAGTCTTTGGAATTTGATGACAGTTTATAACCGATCTTACAAGCACAACCGTAACTTAGATTAGACTGTGACAAGGATGAATCCGAATGTTTTAAAAGACATAATTGCTGACACTTTCCATTGTCTATTGCACATGGATTGGATATATTATTTTTATCAACTAAACCAGCTACTTTGATTTTGTAAGGTACATCTCCTATGTCCTTCAATATAATGTTTCGAATGATATCTGCTCGACACGTATTGTTACGTAATTTGCATTCTTTGATAATTGCACGTGTTGAAACATCTGAAATTAATATTTCCATATATTGATCGCATTCATTGTCATTATAAATTATTATAAATTTTACCGGTTGAATTTTGTGACCAAAATAAGTGATTATTGTAAACTGCTAAAGCAACAGAATCATCAGCTTTTATAACTGTAACTCGATCATTTCCATTATAATCTGAGCTCTCAATGATTCCTTTCTCACAATCATTCCAGTATATGCGCTTAGTCAAACGATCAACATCTAGTCTACAACAATTATTTTTTATCCTTCCAGCATTTAAAATAACAATTTTCAAGGACGTTCCATCTAAATTTATTCGATGAATCTAAGAATGAAAATAGTTTTACTAAATATTTTACTAAACATTTATTTTAAAAGTTAAATTAATTTCAATATTTTATAAAGCATGTTTTACAAATATTCGATGTTTGATTAATAAGGTTGAATTAAAAAATTGAATTTACATGCCTTCAAGAATAAGAGCTTCAAAACATACCTGATAATTATTTTTACATTGTTTTAAGATGACAGAATAAGCGGTAATATTGCCAAATTAAGCTTAATATTAACTTTTTACATAAAAGCAGTAATATTATGATATTAAAAGCTGGTATTCCAGTTAATCATATTTCGTGTGATTTATTACGTTACTCTAAAAGAATTTTTTTTTTATTAAAAATTTAAAAATTATTACATTTAACTAAATATAGGTATGATAAAATAAAACAAAAATAAACGTAATACAGTAATTTCGAAAAACAATGCACAAATAAATATTATTCACCTCTTGAGTCTAACCACTTAATTAGGATATAAATTGTAACTGATAAATATCTTAAATACAATAGATATAAATATAAATATAATTAAAAATATAAATATAATAGTAATTTATAAATATACTATAATAATATAATTTAATAAATTAAATAATATAATAAAATAAAAAATATAATAATCACCCTACTAGCCCAGCTGATGTTCGTTCTGATGAACATTAGACCCTCGGTAGGGTCTATGGCAATTTCCATCGGAAATTCCTGCACGAACAACATTCCCGCATAATCAGCATTTTCCAGCTCAACAGGCATCTTACCAGCGAATACGTAGTCCTTGATCTTACCCAAGGTTTCGAAGCTGGAAAGTATGCTACGTTGTTTGCCATCAAAATCAACAACCTCGACAGTCGGATTAATAAATCTGTCGATGGAGTAGAGCTTCTCGTTCACGTGGTCCACGGCGATGCGTCGGCTGCTGAATTGCAAGTAATCGTAGTAATCGTACCAGAATATCAATTGGTCGGAGTTGTTGTTGCTTATTGAGCTTGAGTATAGCCTTTCGTTCCAGGACATCCAGAGGACGCGACTTTTGCCTGTATCATAATCCAAATCAACGATGTTTGCTCTTCCTGGTACCGTGACGTTTGTATGGCATTTTTCTGTAGCAACTATCGTATTTGATACTATTTTCGGTTCTGATTTATCGTTGACATTTATTTGCCAAACTTTCCCATCTTTCATATTGAATATTAACTTTATCGTTGAATTGGTTGCTAAGTCATTACCTGTGTGTATTCAGAAGATTTTACTTTAATACACAAGAAGATGCGTTAAAAATATAATTTTTATCTTTTTTATTTGGAGCGATAAAGAAAATAGTTCAATCAATGAAACTAAATAATTTAATAACTTTTATTTTATTAGAGACATTAAAAACATTTTATCAAAAATCATTTGATAACATATGTGCAATAATATTGTTCCTTTACAAAATATTTAAAAAAGTCTATATTTGTAAAGTGAAATATAACAATATATTGTGTTTACACAAAAATCAGTGAGGTATATATTAAAATTAACAAATAGTATATTGCATAGAAATATTTTTGAAGTAACCCGTTTTTATGTATACTAAGCTGATTGAAATGCGTCTAGAGCTGCTAAATCATTATCAATACTTACATCATTGATAATTTTGAATATTTAATTATTAAATTAATTGATATATATATATATATATATATATATATATATGCCTAATATTATAAACTGTATCAAATATACTTATTATTGGTACTTTTTAAACAATTTTTATGTTTTTTTTCTGATAATTTTTAATATATTTTACGTGAAACATAATTTAATATTTGTATTAAAAATCATAGTAAATGCGGAAAATTAAATTAAAAATTTTGGAAAGCAAAATATATTTATATAGTCGAAATCATTCACTAAAATTTAACAATAATGCGAAGTATTTTTTATTATATTTTATGTTTTAAATGTATTATTATTTAAATGTATTAAATTTAAATTAAATTAAAGAAAAACATAATATTAATATTTATATAGAAATTGTATTCTTTGGAAATTTTGGAATTAAATATTTATTATATTATGTCACATTGTACATAAAAATATAATTATGTACCATTAAAAACAAAGCTTTACTTGACTATATCGAAGGATATTAACGTGTGCCATTTAATCTTTCAGGAATTATTTTCGATGCATTATTGTATTAATATATATATTATAAAAGTAATTGAATTATAAAATTAGGCTGATTTGACCATTTAAAATAATTTATCAATGCTAATTATAGTATTCATGTGTAAATTGTAACCCACATTTTTTGTTAAGTATTGTGACTACATGTCCTTACAGATTATTTCTTTAAAGAAAGGAATATTCTGTAAACGTATATTCAGGTATTTTTAATGTACGTTTTGTTTGACGCATTAAAGAATGTTATTCACCCCAAAAAAATTTATTGAAATTTAAAGATCGACTTACCTGTATTTGGCAATCCACGAACATGTGCACACAGCAAAATTATGAGCACTGCAATCTTAATAATCTCCAATATTCCAAGCATCGTATTTTTTTAACGGTATTCAATCAGCTTTGTAAAGAAAAAAAGAAAAGTCACGAGCTTTATCTCGAAATTTTTAGCACTGCTGCTGATCCGTTCGTGTCAGCTTCGTAAATGATCAACAAAGCTCCAGAGGAATATTTTCTTATGTGATCTGTCCGTACAGACTCACGCATTCAGGTCATAATAGTTTAATCCACCTATAAGAAAGATAGGCAACTCTCAATGGATCCTATTATTATAGCAATAGTTCTGGCAATCACCGAGATTTCCTGTTGTTCTTATTTTTATAAACGATTCTACAAAGTATTTGGGTGTACTAGACAATTTTTATATTTGAACAAAATTAAAATTCTATGAAAATCCAAATTTATTATTAAAAATAGAGAAGCAGTTAGAAAGGGTTTATTAGTATTATCCAATCTTTTATATTTGAAATATAATATAGACATTCTATAAATTGTGTATTTAACTTTAATTGTAAAAATAATAATTTACTCTCAAAAACATCTTATATTTAACATATATACAATTAAGAATTATTTTATTGATAGATTCTTTTAATTTATTATACATATGTTTAAAATTTTTCTTATTTTCTATATGTGTAAAACAGATTGTTTTAATTCCTCAGATAATTTTAACTGAAGCTCTTTGAATTTTGAATAAAAGATCAATTAGTTTAATTCGATAAGATAATTAATTTAATGATTCGATCTATCTAAATCGAGTATTATTTAAATTTATTTCACTAATATTTTAATCATTATATATCGTAAACTAGCAGCAATTCTTTTCGAAGGAAATATTCAATCTTTTCGTTAGCGAAGCAGGTCAAAACTCAATTAATAAACACTTAATTAAATATGAGTGATATGTATATTTTTTACATAGTTTTAAATTATTTTTAAATATTTTTTATTATTTATGTAATTGAAAATATAATTATATTAAGTATTATTAAGTGTTTAAAAAATATAAGTATATGTCCTTTTGTTTTATTTATTTATTACAGCTTTATAAGTTTAAGGATAAGAATTAATTTTATTATATATTTTTAATAAAAATTCTATTAAAATACAAATAATATAATATATGTATTCAATTATAATACTTTAACATATATTTTTATAAATATATAAAATAGTGAATAAAGAATAAATCAAAATTCATTTCTTTGAGCTCATTAATTTATTAAAATTGTTGATATATAAAAACAAATAATTCACCTGAGCGTAAACAATTTAATATTAACGGGGTACGAATATACATATCTCATACATTTGCGTGTTTTTAAATGTTTCTGTATGATTTTCTTTTCTTATATAAATAATTCACTGTTCAAGCTACGTATAATAAGAAAATTTATATATCATATATTTTAAAAAATAAAAATTGACTTATATGTTACATAATAATAATCAAAGGAACTATGTAACAGTTTATAACTAAAGATATGACCAAATCGTTTTAAAATTACGAATTACTATAATTTCTAGACGATAAAAATACAAAATCACCTTTATTTTATTCTATTCATAAATATTTTTCATATTTGTATTTATATAATTACTAGTGCTTACTCTTAATAACTTTAAATAACTACTTTAATTCAACCTTTGTCGTATTATTATTAAGTTTCATGATAAACTAATTTGTTCCATTAATCAGCAATATAATAGTCTAGTATTCTTTATTAACTATAAAAGTTTTGATGATAATAAAATACCTATTAAAGCAGAATGTGATCATAATATTGAAAATACTTTTTCCTTATTAATGATACTGATTAATATAATTCAGTAAATAGTATTGATATTCAAATTTGTTCATTAGTTAATAATTAGTAGTAACAGCTCAAAAATTTAATTTTATATGTTCAGCAGTTAAATTAAATTCCTTGTATATAGCACAAAAGAGTTATAAATTTTGCCATAAAAGGAAGAAAGGTAAATCTAAAGTCTAATTATATTAAAGTAAAAATATAATTACCAAATTAAAAAAATTTTTTTTTTCAAAATTAAATCATTTTCTATAATGATTTATTTTTATTTTGTATTATCTTATATTTAAGTTAATGCTGACTTCAATATTTGTTTACAGATAAATTTTATAAGCACAATTAAAATTTTTTATTAAAAAGGAGAAAAAATTTAATACTTATTATATTAAATGTAAAAGCTTTATCAATAATAATTGAAAGCTTTTCATCTGTATTTTAATATTTTTATAAAATACGAATTTAACAAAAATAATTAGACTATAAAACAAATCATTTTTATGATTTTGTCATTATAAAGGCTATAACGATTGTACAGTTAAAATTTATAGTTGTTATTATAGAAAGCCATTGTATTTTAATGCATACAAAAAGATGATGTGAACGAATTTTCTTAACAAGACAAGCATTGTTATAAATTTATATGATATACGTATTATATAATCCATTGTTTATGAAATATTATAATAATTTATTCTGTTTACGGATTGGCAATCAATTCGAATGTTGAGTAGGACACATAAAGTATAGTGTCATAATAAACTTAATTATTAACATTTGAACATAAATAAGGTGAATATTACAAAGTTGGACATTTTTATTTGATATTTATAAATAGGTATAAGATTTTTCAAATTAGTATCAAGTATAATTTAAAATAAATTCTTGAGTAGATCATTCTTGTTAACATAATAAAAATTTTCAAACAATTAATATTGCTTAATAATTAATGATTAATAATTAATAATTAATAATAATTAATAATAATAATTAATAATTAATAATAATTAATAATAATAATTAATAATTAATCTATTCTTTTATACTAAACAATCAATAAATGAATTAATAGTTTATCTTTTAAGCATACACCTTAATTAGTCTATTAATGAATTTTATGAGTTTTACTAATAAGTGAACAGAAATATTAGGCAGATAAGAATATTTTTGATTTCAGTTTAAATATATTTTTAATTAAAAAGTGAACCACTTGTTACCATTTTTTAGATAAAGTTTTGATATTTATAGTACATTTTTAATTAAAAGTATTTTAATCATTTGCTATTAAACAAATTTTAATTAATCGAAAAAGCTATTTAAGCATTTTTCAAAATTCATCTTAAATATGTGTTTTAGGTCTAATTTATGTATTTCTTACAATAATTATATACATCAATATTTAAATAATATTTCTACTACACAGATGACTTACAAAAAATTTGTAATAATTAAACATTTACTATTTATGTCTTTTCAATGTCAGACATTTTATATTTATAAACTTTTGATGGTTAATTAAATTAGATTTTTTTGACAAGTTTACTTACAAATAAATCTTTCTGTTAATTTTTTATTTAGAGATAAAAGAATTTCATATGCAAAAGGGTTTTGGAGCAAAAAAAGCTCTCTGATATATCCTTTTTTTACAAACCTAACTTTTTACATATAATTTTTTTATATATTATAAATTTCACGGTGCTTTCATGTTGCATGATATTTAAATTAAAGTATTTATTTACAATAATATCCAAAAATAAATAAAGATCACTTTAAAAAATATTTATTTTTACTATGTATTATTCTTATTTTAAAAATTATATCTGATTGCAAGCAAGAAATGAAAATATAAAAATAGTTTTATGCAATATTTGAAAAGTAATTGAAATTTTTTTTATATTATTAATGGACATGTATAAGTTTCTTATAACGTATATACAAGTAAAAATTTGGGATTGCAAAGAAAGGATTTTTTTTAAAGATTTCGTGATATTCTTTATACACTCTGGAATTCTTTTTTTTACACTTCTTTACGAGTTAGTGCAAAAAATAGGATGTCAAACGTAAAGAAAGTGCTCTTAATTGTATGATAGTTGTAAATAAGTATAATGAACATCAGAAAATACAAAATACTTATAAAAGTGAATTAATCGTTAAATCTAAATAAATTTAAATAGCCTATAAGTGCATTCAAAATAATGATAAATGCTTCATCTGACCAGAATTAGCATTTACACATTTACTTATACGCATTAACTTGTTTCATCTTTCGATACTTGTCTTAGATTTATTCATACATAAATTTAAATTCCTTGCTACTATTCGAAAATGGTGAAGTATGAGAACAGATAGTATTGAATTTTTTATTTGAAACTATAGAAAGTCATAAATTATTGATAATAAAAGCCATACTGTAAGTGTAAAAAATTATGTCAAAAATATAATAAAAATTTCCAGAAAAAATTATCACTATTATTTTAATTAAAATTTAAATGTTTTTCATCTTATAAATATAAACTTTCTTGTCTATATATGAAGACACGATATTACTAATTAATTAATAATGATTTTGATCGGAAGCTTTACTGTCTTGCTTTTAGACTTATTGTAACAATTGCAAATTTGCATAAAATAACTTAATGCAATTGTAAGAATTATAAAAAATTAACATTCACAATATTAATTAGAAATCTCTGGATGTCTTTTAAATTTATATATTACAGGACTTCATCTGATTTTTGATTATATGTTCTCAATTTTAAATAATCTGAAAATCTTGTAATTAAAAATTTTTTTCAATGTTCCTTTTCTCTTAAAATATTATTGATGAAAATCAATTCATGCGTTCAAAAAGCTAAATAAGGTCGAAATTATAAATGAAGGCTATTTAAAAAAATTCCTTGTTACCCAAAATTTCCTTAAATCAAGAGCATAGTGAGAAAGTAAGTTTTTTTCTCATTATTCGTTCAGTCACTTTTATAAAAAAGTATACGATACGATCCAAGAACGTTGTATAAGTAAACAAATGCTAACTTCTGAGATCGATCTCTCGAACCACATATGTAACAATATTAAAGACATTATTGTTGAGTAATCCTAAATACGGGTCCGATCCTTAAGAAAAATCTCCTGAGAGCGGATCTGAGCTCGGGCTTGAGGTCGAAGCACATGATTTCACAGAGTGAAGGGTAAACACTAGAGGCGTGAACGGCGAACCTCGCATCTGGCATTTTTAGGACCCGGGCAAGCAACAATAAGAGTATTGGGGTCCAGGCTTCACGATGTGCCTCGTTCGAAAGCGCGAGGAAGTAGTCCAGAGCCTCGCTTGCGACTTCAACCAGCCGCGATTCAACTAATTGCCAATCAGCACGATGCATCTCGTCACTGTACATCTTGAAAAGGATGCGCAGCGCACACGCGAGTGATTGCGTCTCCTGTTTCAGCAAGTTGGGCTTGATACTACCACGGAAGCCTGCTTTCCATAGGATATTACGTTGCTCATGGTTGGAGTTGAAACTCTTGGCGAAACGGTGCGAGGCCAAGAGACAATCGACGAGCTGCAGGAGGTGAGAGGTTGTTAGCGCGCAGTACATGCCCTGCTCCTCCTTTTGCTGGTCACCACCTACGACGTAGTAAATGCACATAAATGAGTTTTTAATATAAACTTATTTAATACATAGTTAATAACTATTTGACATTGGTTTCGCTTTTAATCTGATGAACGAAATATTGTATGTTATCACTCATCGCCGAAGAAAGACTTCAGATCATTTGAATAATTAAAGCACTTAGATACTACAATCTAATCATTATTATATAATTTGTATATTATTCGATTTGAATAATTTTTTGTTTTAAAATTCCTCTAATTTACATAATTAATGTATTACAAACATATTTAATAAATATTACTAGTAAAATAATTTGTGATAGTTCATTTTAAATAATAAATTATTAATTTTTAACCTAAATTTTGGATATATTTCTTTGCTCGTTATTTTTATACATAAAATGTATTTAAATTTACATTTAAAATGTTCCGTTATTATTAGCGAAAATTATTGACCTGCTCCGATGCCTCCGACTTGTTCGAATTTGCTGTTAAACATATCGGCTTGAGCAGCGGCGAGGTTCTCTTGGTCCTCTTTTCTCGAAGTGGCCGGATAAAAAACGATATTGTCAATTGTCTGCATAAGCTCGAGTTGGACAACGCATTTTATGAGTAAGGCAGTAAAGATCTTCACGCGTACAGATTCGAGCGATGAGAGGCTTTGGTTGCTTGTGCTACGCTTCAAGATGCCAATATGCACGTCGACCTCGCCGGTTATTACGTCCAAATCAGATTCCTTAACATCAACACATTCGTTAAGTTAGTATCGTATTTATTCACATAGTGTAAAGTATGTTATATCAATACGTGTTAAAATTTATTCTAATTGATATTAAAAAAAATACCAATGATACTTATATTTCCAAAGAGAAAATAAGTTGTTTTACAATTTGTTATTTTATTAATAAAAATGTTCATTATGCGTAAATCTTAAATAAATTTAGATAAAAGCTCAAAATCATGTATTCACCATCTCCGATACCAGTTGCTTATTTATTATTAATTTATGCACTGAATTTCTTATACACGATGCTCAAATGTTTTAATCCACTAAGAAACAGCGTTAACCTTATTATTCGATTGTGGTTTCCAAGTGAGGAGTGCAGTGGGTAAAGTACTAGTAAAAATATCGAGAATGCAACGTGTGGTTTTGTTCCACGTGTTCTCGTCGAACTTAATGCCGTTGCTAATAACGAGGTTCTCCAGGCAGTTGGTGCCAGACCGCGCGAGTTGTTCATTATCCTGTTGCACGCACCAAAGTAGTTGTGCATATAGTTGCTCTAGGAGTAATGGCCCGAGAACATCGTAGAACTGTGAGAAAACGTCGACTATCGCATAAAGTGCGTGATTGCACGTTGTAGTCATCCATTCAGCCTTCTACCAGTACGTGATAAAGAATAATCGATAGTTAGTTCAAGTATGAATTGCAGTATTGTAATTTTGGGAACATTTTATAATTTATAGATGAAAAAAAAACAAGTGTCTCGTAATATCGCAATAGTTCATAATGTTAATTTACATTTTGAACAAGTACATAATTTATTATGGAATATCTTTATATTACAATATATAATCATATTTTTAATTCAATCTCCCAATATTTTTAATTCAATCTATGTGCAAATAATATTATTAAATTAATAAGAATTTTATTTCATCGTTTTACTAGAACAAATATGATATGTCATTCAAATAATTAACCAAATTAACAAAGTGAATCTTGAAAATTCTATATTTTAACGATGAATCCGCACAAGTTATAAAATACTTTCTTCAGAGTATATAAAAGTAACCTCTTATATAATGAGGAAATGTCGTTAGTCAAATGTAGATTTATTAATACAAAATAAAAGAATAACATAAAAGAGTTACGTTGTTCGCGGATCTGTCCTTGACAAAATTCTTATCATTCACCTCGGTGTGCTGTTCGGGTAATTTCATGTTGTCAAAGATGCGGAAGAGGATCTGGAACAAGTCTTTCCACCAATGCGGCTTGAACGATGCTCCGTACGTTTTTACAACATCGAATAAAACGGTGAGTGCTCGCGTCCTCACGTCAAGCTTACAGCGGCTCAATACGCACGATAACTCGAACAGCAGAGGGAACCAACCTCTTACCTATAGATTGACGTTATCCTTTAGTTTTTTTTAATATTCTTTTAGTGGAATCTGTGAGGTATATAAGGTGAGATTATTTAAAACTTTGTCACTAGTGCCTTTCACCTAGGAATTTATTATATCATCTGTCTATGTAAAATTTCTTAAAATTTTATTTTTATTTTTTATTCACGCAAATCTTTTTTTAAAAAAAAAAAGAAATTTAAAAAAAAATAGCCATTTATTTTATACATCATTATTATTTTATACAGTACGCGATAATGGAAAAAATAAATTTTCGAAAATTGTTGAGTTTCTCGTTAAAACATTAACATTTTATTACATAAAAGATAACTAAAGAAGTTAAAATGAAATAGATTGATAAATAATTTTTAAAGTGTATACCCAGGCTCTGTCCTCTTCTGAAACCATTCCATTATCGTCCATCATGCCTTCGGCAAATAGGTTTGGATTGGCATCGATATAAGATGCGCAGGATCTTATCAGTCTTATAGCTTCCATACTTGTATCAGGAAACGAGGCGTTACACGCGAATTCACTGAGGCACTTGACGGCATCTTGGAAGGAGTCCACCATGATACTAAAGTCTGCTGCATACAATTCATCTACAAACATTTATATATTATTTTCATAGGCGTTATTAAGAGACATTAAAGAAACATTAATAAATGAAAACACAGACTGATAATCTTGCCGGTCATGGAGAATGCGAGTTCGACAACCGACTCGTCCCTATCGCCTGCCGCATGATGAAACACGCTAAATATATTTTTCCATCCAGAACGAATATTGGGTGCCTGGGAGTGCACAATCTGGGCGACACACCGCACTACCATATCTCGTATGATTGTGGAGCGATTCTTCTTCATGATATGCTCGAACGGTCTGAGAAAGTCCTTTTGGAAGCGAAAGTTCGCAAATTCGCCCTTCTCAATGAATTTAGTGGCAAGCTGGCGTAGCGAGTCAACTGCAAAGAAAGATATGTCCTGGCGTGGGCTGCAGCCTACTCGATCAAAATGTTCGCCGATTACTTGCCAGATGCGTGACCACTGTAGACGTATACGACCCATATTGTAGTAGGAGATCTCGACGATTTTCGTCAAGGAAAACATGCGTGGCTGGCTGGGGTGGGCGAGCTCCTCGAGGGATACCTGAGAATGTTGAGAAAATGATAAAACTTAATCTATCTGTACTAAAATGTATGTTAACGCCGTATAAGCGCAAGCGTATATGTATGCAAAGAATATTTCAGATTTAACAACTTCACTTGTAATTTAAAATACAAAGCATATCTCTGCTTAATGTAAAGTAATATAAAAGCATTTCATCCTGAATTTCATAGTCGATAAAAAAAATAATTGTAACTGATGTTAAACACGTAATGCAATTATTTGTATATGTGGGTATAAAAATATACGATTCCGGATATTTGGTTTAAATATCATTTGCGTTTAATAATTTTAAGATATAGATAACCTGGTGCTAGAGATAATCTGGCAATGGCTTTTATAAATTATATATATATAAAAGGTAATTTTACGAATCATTCAATTTATATACCTGACACAGTGCTTTAACAAATTCTACTATAGCATCTCCGTCCAGCCTTGTGGATCCAGTAAAAATTCTGTCTACAGCTACAACTACACTTTGAGAACTCGTTTCACCAATGGATTCCTTAACACTTGCTGAAAAAACAAATATCACTTACATTGACTGCTTGTACTTTTTATTAATTTCTGTTACTTTTAATTTCCATTATACCTTGTAATATTTGTAATATAAAATTAAGTACATCTAAAAAGTTAATATTAATTAAATATTTAATTAATTAAGAGAACAATAATTTGTTACTCATTTCGAAATATGTACGAATAATATATTTTGATTATAAATAATATTACATTTACTGTAATATTAAGTACAAAACCTTTTTTGCTACGATTCAATTTTAACAGAGCAGATATTGACTCAATTTACGTTAATAATATTGTATGCATTTAAGATACAAGCATGTCTAGGAGTACATTTTGCAAATTCCAATAAAATTGAACGTACGATCCAGTGAGCTAAGATTTAATCCATTGGTTTGGTGTAAGTTGTTATGATTGAGATTAGTGAAATTGGATAGCGGTGAGGGGAAATGAGGCTTCGAGGGTGGCCCCAACAGTTGTGGTCGCACGCCTGTACCAATCAGCTGGGCGAGCTCTAATTGCGATATACACTTGACAACATCGAGCCAGGAGTTGCCGAGGTAGTTGCCATCGGTATGCGCCACTGTTATCAAGGTCTTGATAGTATCAATGTTCTTTGCTTTCATTTCTGTTATCGGCGAGTTGGCTGTTAAGAGGGTAAATCTGGCTAATGCCTGAACATAGGCATCTCTTTCAAGCTACAATGATTTTTATCAAAACAATAATTTATTAGTTAGTTACTTCAAATATATTTTCTTTATAAAAATAATATGTATGCAATTTTTAGCTAGTGTGCATGCAATTAATTTAAATAGGAAGTTCTGGTTTAACAGATAAACAATTTTATAAATAAATGCAGCAACAAAGAAAGCAGCATCTTCAAATTATAACGTTTTACAACTTTACAGTTTTATAATTTTATTAAAATTTTTCGAGTAAAACATTTTTTTAAAAGTAAATCTCATTTCTATCTTATTAAATGTATAGAAAAAAGTTTCGGCCCGCAAAACTTACCATCATATGAAAAATGCAAGCAATACGAATAGCACAACGAATTCCATCGAGGCAAAGCGATGCAATCTCAGGATCGTCGCAATCTTGAAGGCCGACACTGAAGGCCGCGAGGAAGGGCGTCCAAGCAATCTTGAACATCGGTCGCACGTGCTCGAGATGCTTAGCCGTGGTGAAAGGTGCTTGCACATGGCTAACTGACTCCATCAGATTCTTTGCCGCCGTCGAAATTACCTCCATTTCCATATTCCATAATAGGCGGCGCTTCTTCTCACTCGATATTACTGCATTTGATAAATAGAGAAATGATTTTTATGTAAATATAATACGGACTTTTTTGATTTGTAAACTATTTCCACACACACGCACACACACTCTCTCTCTCTCTTTTTCTCTCTCATGTATTGGACATACTTAGTATTTGTTTCTCTATTTATATCGCAATCAATTACTGATTCATCAGTATACCTTGTTTTCCAGGTCTGTTAGGGTTAGATTTCATTTTGATTTCGTTGCCAGCTATTTCATCATAAATTTTTGACAAATATTCTTCAGGTAAATCTTCGTTATCGCTAATTCGTCTATTAAGTTTTATATACTGTTCTTTGGTCATCTTATTTTTTACTTGAGGGGAATGCAGGTCTGTCGTCAGCATTATTATCGAAAAGCCCAGTATGTAGGCAGTATCGGCACTTGTGAAAAGTCCGTTGCTTAAAAAATGAAATACATTTGTATACAATATGGATACAGTGGATGCCATGTATTTTTTTTGCACAAAATATCAATGCATAATAAGTCTATTAATATCACCATAATGCGTATTTCAATATCTGAAATAATGCTGAAACCTACTTAGGATTGCACTCGCAGTAGCGACTGGCAAACTTTTCCATAAGCCTATCGATTTTCTGGGCCTCACCAGGTAATCTGAAACCTTCGAGAAAGTAGCGCAAAGCGGTTACGAGATCACGCTCCGTAAAGTCCATTTGATCAATGTAATTGTACATGACTTGATTATGGTTATGGTCTCCGAGGAAGTCACCGATTGCCGTTTTGTCAAGGCGTTCGTCCGTATGTAACCAGCGTGCAACTTCTTCCACCGTCGTTCCTAAGAGACTTTGTTCCTGCAAGTACTGAACTCCCTTGATCGGCTTTCGATTAAATCTACAGAAAACACGATATCGGTATTTTATTACAACATAATTACATTTAAAGAAGATAAAACTTTATTTTTATATTACATACAATTAAGAAGCTAGGTTAATTTAATTTGAGTAAGAACAAAAATTCAAATTTCAACAAAAATTTGATACGTGCAAAAGTTAGAACTTACATTTCGATGCCAGTTTCCCAAACTTCCTTTTGCTGCTTCTGAACTTCGTATTGTTCGGGAGAGTCGGGTACTTCTTTGTTCCCAAGGAGACTTGAGTTCGCCGACGAGAGACTACCAGCGCTTCCATATCTCGGCAATAATTTATTCCCATTGCCAGCACCGGATGTCGTTGAAGTATCTAGGGGTGGATCCGGAGGTTCTGCAGGTACTTGTTGTTCAACTGGTATCGAGGGATTCACGTAAAGATCTCGGCTCCACTCCACCATGCATTTAAGGATTGACACGAGACATTCAAGACCGCGTATACGCATGGACTTTTCCTGATTTGGAGAGGCACCAAGTTCCAGGGCCTGTCGACCTTGTGCTATCTTTGATAGATCATTCACAAGTCTGCAGGTGAAACAATATTTATATAATTAAGTTTATTTAAAGTAACATATAATAATTTTGATTATATAAAATATGGATGGAAATTTTTCTTTTTTAAAATTTAAAACAAAAATTTTTGTTAGAAGTTAGATTTGTCAGAACTCTTGGATTATACATTAATAATAGTTATTGATTAAATTAAAAATTTAGGATATAAAGATAAGTTTTAATTGTATAAAAGTAATAATTGTAAGTTTGTTAATTATAAATTTTTTTTCAAACATTAGCCAAGTGCTCTTAAAATGTTTATTGGAACAAGATGGACTACATTATATTATTAGCATTGATCAAAATTATAAATACAAATCGCTATGAAATTTTCTATATTATGATTCTGATTTTATTGTCAAAATAAAAATAACTGATCTGAAATAGGAGGAAAATTTTATAATTTAACAATTAATGCCTTTATAATTTTAATTTTTATATCGATGATGAATTAAAGAACATCTTTTCAATTTTAGTATGGAAGGCTAGCGTAATAAATTTGTTGAACCTTTCAAATAAATTCGCAGCCGACAAATCACAGTCGTAATTGACATATATGTCGACGACACTTTGAGCATCGGCGCAGATGCGTGTAAGTGCATGAATGACCATCCACTTGTGTTCGAAGGAGCTGCTCGATGTTTCTAGTATATTCATGAAAATTTCTTTGAAGAAAACTTCGATCTGCATTTTTAAGTGGATCTTGAAGCGTGCGAGTAGCACAAGAAAAAGCGCGAGCGAAAGCTCAAACACTTCTGGTACGGAAGAAACACCGTTTTTCGACAGAGCGACGCATAAATATTGTTTTATGGCTATCACAAACATTTCATTTGATCGTAGAATCGGACCCGCGTTTTGTAGAATGCCAAGTAGAAGTTGCAGCGAAAGAATCTTTGATCTCAACTCATGTGATCTGAAATTTTTAAATTCTTTATTGTAAGCGATCGTTGATCAGTAATATTGATAAAATTATTGTAGAATGGTTTTTAATCTAAATAAACTTTTTATTATTTTTTTTAATAAATATTTTAATTTTTCTCAAAACTTTTATTTTGCTTTTCTTGATGGGGCTTAAAAATAAATTTTATAAATATAACAACTTATTAGTGTTTTTTAAATACACTGAAAATAAATATACCTGTTTAACGAGAGGCTAACACTTTTTCTTGAACATAGTATTTGCTTACTTAGGATCTGGAGTACCATCAGGTAGGGGTTTCATTGATAGTTTGCAGAGTGCCCGGAACACAAGGAAGGCATCTTTTTGGAGCACATGAGTGAATTTGGCAGTAACCATGTTGTCATTTTCGGCAATCACCTCATCTTGTACATCGTCGACATTATTCTGTTGTTCTTCTGGTGCTGGTATTGTATTAGGTGTCGTCGGTTGTTGCTGCTGGTCCGACTCTGATGTAACAGATTTTGACGTCTGGTGTCGTTCTTGAACTTCTTCATCAGGTACGACTGTATTTATCACATCGTCCAACACTGAACGGACGATTAGCAATGCCTCGTTATAAGTATCCGTTGCCTCTGCATTAATTTAATTTGTATTTATTTAATTTTAATCGCTACTACACTATATCTGATTTATTTTAATAAAACATTTATATCATTATAATGCCATTTGAATTATGTAATATTACATTTTATATTTTATTGCATAAAATTATTTATTTTCTTTTATATTTTAATTATATATCAAATTTACAATTTAATAATTTTTGTAAATAATCATGTTATATTATAAATCAAATCTGTAATTTTGTTATACTTAAAGGTAAAAATATAAATTACCACATATTACGAAGAACATTTAACGTTAAACCTGTTTCTTAAAAATGAAAGAAAATATAGTGAAAAAGAACGTTTCTAATTAACAATTATCAGTAAGATATATTTTCTAACCAGCTGGTTCTTCTGTTGTTACAGCCTCTATTGACGAATCTGTCTGTATTATCTCTACAATTGAATTTATCGTGTTATTTAAAGATTCATTTTCTGCTTCTGGAATACTAATTGTCGATATATTTTGTGCTTCAATGTGTCCATGCTTTAAGTTTTCTTCTTCCTGATTTATAAAAACATAATAATGAATCATCATTGTTAATTGTAAAAAATTTATTGGTTTTAAATATTCGCTTTAAAAAAATTTTTCAATTTATAATGTAAATTAATTAATGTTAACTTGTACTATTATTTAAGTATTTTATAATAAATTATAAACATACTGCCTGAGTTTCCATTCGAGCAAATATCACATTAATCATCTGAGTAAGAGTTGCTCTAGCTGTTGTCTGATTAACTAAATTCTTAGAGGCTAAATAAACATTATAAACAGTTCTAATTGTCAAGAGTACTGTCCCTTCATGAACTTCGACATGTTGACTTGTCATGACAGTCAATAAAGCCTTAATGATTTGCAATTGAACACCTTCATCTGTTTGTGGACCCATAAAACAACTACAAATAGTTTCAACTATACGAACGATTAAAAGCTTGTTTGGATCGGTGGAGTCTGGAATGCTGCCAGTTAGATGACCATAGGCTATAAGTTTTTGCAGACAGTCTAGAGAAGTTACTACTATTCTAGGTGATTTGCTTTGACATGCCAATTCAAAGGGTAAGAAATATTTTTCTGCACTGATGAAATTGGTATCATTCTTGGGTTGTGGTAAAGCATTTGAAGGAGCTTCTTCACCCACAGTATTTGGAACTTCTTTAATCTCATTATGGAGATCCTCTATAAATTATATCAAATATGGTTCATTATTTTACATTTAAATAATTTTAGCAAATTAAATATTATTAAAACTATTATTATTAAAAAAATGATTTTATAAATATTATTCAAGAGTGATTATTAGAACATATATTGAATTTATTTTAATTTTTTAATAAAGTAATTATATAATATACCAAGTGCAGCTTCGCAAGCTTTTCTGAGTTGTGACAAGTGAGAGCGTTTAACATCTCGATCTCCTAATATCTTCTCCAAAGCTCTTACAATAAACATTTCTCTTGTCTTGGAGTTATTTCTCATCATCACCAAAGATACCTAAAATTAAATTGAATTTACTAAATCAAATGAATTATTAATTTTGTATTTAATGTTGATAAATTTAACGCCAATAACATTTAAAATACCAAAAAATTTTGTGATAATCAATATTTTTATAAAATTTAAAATTAGCTATTTTTAAAATTGGGTTATTAACATTCCATTATCAGAATATACTTCAAACAAAAATGTATTTAATAATAATCTAAATTATTTAATGATTTTATAGTTACTTTGTATCTAATTCTTTATTTAAATAGAATTACGAGAAATTTTAATATATTTTGAATAAAATTGTTAGATATATATATATTTCTAAATATATATATATATATATATATATATACATATATTTAAATAAATCTATTGAGTCCATGATAAAAAAATTGTATAAAGTGCTTATATAGTCAAATTCTTTTGCAAATAATTAAATCAAATAGTTGTAATAATTGCAATATCAAGATGTTATAAATTAAAATACAATATTAAAACATAAATCAATACCAAATTCAGAACTATCAAATTGAATTAATTTAAGAATATTATATCAAATTATTCTAAGAAGATACAAGTATTAATAAAAATAACCTTGTTATTATAAATTTATTAAATTAAAAACTAAGAAGTAAACTAAACAAAGCAGTAAATTAGTGAACAATTAAAAAAATTATCATCTTTGAGATAATTCAATTTTCTCTTAACTTTGTTATTATCGTAATAATGTTTTATAAGTTAGACAAAAAGCAGAAAAAAATCACTTGGATTAGTGTCCTCCAGACTGTCTTCTTTGATTACGGAACAGCGAAGGGCTCGACCTTGAGAAGTTAGAATCGGCCGAACCCGGGTGTTGAACAACTTTCACGTTGACATTACTGTAGCCATTCTCGTCGGCCTTTGCCACTACTTCGATTCTTGACGTGAAAACTATTATAAAAATTACGCACACCAAACAATGAAATCGCTAACGTCGTATCAATTATTATTGAAGTGCAAGGGTGAGAGCTTCTTTTTATTATCACAACTTTCCTTTACTTCCACGTCTTCTGCACCTTATACATCTGGATTGCGTTTAGGGTATATTCATTACAATGAAAAAAAAACTAATAGAAAAGGAGAAACGTATGCGGAGAATCATTAGTAATTAAGTGACATTTACACAAATATACTAAATACGACAGGTGCAAAAATAAAGACACCAACGATATATTTATTCTTTTTCACACACACATGCGTATGGACAATGACACAAAGCTGTATGAGGTATATTGAGTTCTTGATACGTATGTCCGCTTCCGAATAATATATATGTGTGTATGTTGAGGTTAAGTTCAATCAAGTCTGATCGGCCACTTTGATCCTAGCGCCATCTTTGATAAGAGCGTGAAAATCTGAGATCAGAACGGCTTATAAAAATCAAATAAATTATTGAATTGCTACAAATCAACTACTTATATATATTTTTTGATATTAACAAAATTAATATTTTTAATGTTTAATATGAATATCTTTTATGCAGAATAATAATTATCTTAAGTATTGTTTTCTGTGTTCGAATAAAGTTAAGTATGTTATTATAAAGTTATAGAATATCCAAAAACATATGTAAAATTTTATATGAAACGAAACTGATTTAAGGATTTTGCCGCAAAGGACTTACTTTTAAATATTCAATCTTTAAAAGAACGTTACAGTTAGAAAAGCTATACGATCGCCATTATGTGGAAGAGTTGAAAATAAACATTGAATAATTTAATAAAAGTAAAAGGGTAATGATGATTTTATAAACATTCATATTACTGTTAGAATATTTTATATATATTCGATATTTCATAATAAATAATTGTATCTTAATATAAAAGAAACTCATATGTTTTCAATGAATTTTTTTTATAAAATATATTTTAAACTCAAAATTTCAAATCATAGTATTATATCTCTTTAAATCTTAAATTTTTTTATTAAATCTCTTTTAAGGCACTGTTTCGATTTTTTTAAATAAAAAACATTTATTTATAGATATATTTAAAATAAAGACTAATTTGTTATTAAATAGAAATATTTAAAATAAAAAATTATTTTTTATCTTATTTTCTTATTAATTTTAAATGAATAACTCGATTATGAAACCATGAAAAATTGTTCCTAAATAATTAATTTATTATTCCACTCGAATAATTCAAATGTGTAATAATAACTAAATTATGTTTTTAATTAATTTATAATAAGATAATTAATACTTTTAAATAAGTCTATTTTGCAATTTAAATAGATGCCTATACGTGTACCTATGTGATTGCAATTATATTTGATAATTATATTATAAGAATTTTATTAATTATATTATTTAACTATTTAAATATATAAATAAAAAAAGGTATGTTATACTTTAATATGATTGTCATAATAAGAATAAAGCGATTCCTAAGAATATTTCAAAAACGTCGTCTTTTAAAAAACAAATAACCATTATAATTTAGATATTAATATTTATCAAATTGTTTAACATGTACGCATGCAAGATTTGAAATATTAAATGTGTTAAATAAAAATATAATCTTTTAATGAAAATTTATATACATACTTATTTAAATAACAAACAAAACAATTGAAAACAATAATCTCAAAATTAATTATAAACAGCTTATCATTATTAATAAACAAAAGTACTTTATTATTGCAATAAAAGAACAATACACAGAAGACGTAGTAATAACGTTAAACTGTTCTCTACCTACATCAAGATTACATGCACGATAGGAGTATGTACTACTAGCATTCAAGTATTTCACTTGTTATGCGCCTCTGATTCTAAAATTTATTTCATAAAAGTAAGTTTTTCTTATTTATATTAAGAAACGATGGAATGTTCATTTCTAAAGATAATAAATTTAATAAAAAATATACTTTAAATATTTAAAGTTCAATACACATATGCGCGCGCGCGCACACACACACACACACACACACACACACACACACACACATATATATACATGCATATATATATATATATATATAAATATCAAAAAACAGTAATTTCATAAAACTTATATTAAATAAAATTAGTTTTTTCATTAAAGTACGTGATTTTTTAAAAATCATGATAATGTATTTATAATTTTAATAAAATATAGAAAATTCTGTCAACATTATAAATTTTTAGTACACTTTATTATTATTATTTTATTTTCATACTTCCTTATAACTATCCTTCATTATAATTATTTTTTTTATAAAATCATATAATTCATAAGATATAGCTGATATTAATAGTTTGTATTTAATTAAATGGTACACATCGCAAGATTAAAAAAAAAAACCTGCATAGGAGAAATGTCAGAAAATAATTTTATATTGTTTACTTAATCCAAGAGTAACTATAAAAATAATTTATATATATACATATGTATGATTAACAATACTGTCTTTAAATAGTTAATTTTTTATATTTTTTAAAATATATGAAAATATTGAAATACTGAAATGTTTGCCTATAAATTAATATAAACAATAATATATACAAATATTAATTATAAATAATTTACTGATTTATTCATAAAGTAAAACTTTCATTAAAGTCAATTAGAGAAAATTTGAATATTTGTGGACAATCATGGAACATATTGAACAATTTTTTAATTCTACTGAACATAATGATTTTAATAATGACATTAAAAAATCATCTATGGAACATTTAAATACATTGAAAAATCAAATAGAACCTGGAATCTTGAAAAAAATTGATACACCTTTGCATAGACGGTCCAAAATGGATGTAGTAGAATTGGAAATGTTACTAAATAATTTGAGACGGATAAGTTTCGATAAACATATAAATGAATGGGTAGAGTTAAAGGAAAACAATCCTGTATTTTCAAATTCAGAAGCAGTAAGTAGAATAAATTCAATCGAAATAAAATTATATAACAATATTCCTTAAATAGAATTAGAATTATTGTGAAAATATGTAAACTAAATAGATTTATATATTTTGAATAAATCCTATAAAGTCAATCATTTTAATTTAACTATTGTAATAAAAAAAATATTCTTTAGGTATCTAAGGAACAGTTGAATTTGGATAAATTGAAACTACACGATATAATAATAGAAATAAATGATAAACTTTTCTCAGTTCTGAATGACATTTTATGTAAATTCCCAGGCTATTGTCGATTAAAAAATTTCAATCAACGTGTAAATACAAAAATAAGACGAATCAATAGAAAACTATTGAGTTTTGATGAAATAAAATTTGAAAATACGGTGATAAATCAATACAGTGTAAAATCATTTAAGTGTCCAGATGATGTTTGTTCAGATTCTTCAAAACAACCTCTAAGAGTAACATTTCTAGATAATGCCGAATACAATGATAAAAACCAATCTTTTGATTATGACGTAAATTCTATGGTACAGAAAATACACTTCGCAGAAAATGATGATCTTAACGATTTATGCGATAATGATAGTAATAAAATTAATTTATTATCAATGCCACAATATTTATCTACAAGTACTGAAAATTTTATAATTACTCAGTCTCAGGAAAAAACCAAATCTCAGAGAAATAAATCAATACTGAAGAAATCTAAAAATGTAATGAAAACCACTTATCGTGATACGAACCCGTGGATTAGTGAAATTAATTCACAAATACGAGCACTTCCAACTTCTACAGTAACATCTTTACCGTTTGTTAAAAATAAAAAAAATATCAATAAATTTAATGGTCTTAATAATTCCGTGAAAAATAACACGGGCACTAGTAAAAATAGTGAAGACAGAATAAATGTGAATAGAGAACAATTTTATATATCTTCAATTATATGGAATGATTCAGAAGGTTCAATCTAACTTTTTTTTATCAATAATATCATTATTTTAAATAGAACATTTTACTATAAAACTTTTCAATTATCGAGCAAATCAAAATTTCAATTATAAATCTTTAAACATTATTATTTATATAATTAAAATTTAAATTAAAATTTAAAGAAGTAATTCATTTTTAGAAAACATTAATAATGAGATATTAGGAAACAATAATAATGAAATATTAGAAATTTTAAGCGAAGATTCAAATGTAAAAAAATGTAAAAATATGATAGACGCAGATGCAGTAAAATATAAATATAATGATAATGCTTCAAAGGTGAAACTTATAGGAAATATACAAAATGATAGCATAGGTAGGAAGTTTAATAATTTAGACTTTCCACATTGCCGAGAAATGTTAAATGTAAGTATATTATAATTATAATCTATCAAATGATGTAAGTAAAGAAGGTAGAAAAGCATTAACTTATACATAACATTATTTAAATAATTTGAATTATTAATTATATAAGAAGTGATTTAATTTTCTTATACATCACAAATTAAAATATTTATAAATTATTATATTTTTATGAGCTGAATAAATAAATTGCTCATAAAAATAATAAACACGTACTCAGTATTAAACTGTATTTAAAAAGTTAAAAAGCATTTCATAAAGTTAATAATAATATAATAAAATTTTGCCGTAGATATTTAGAATGAAATTTGGTCTTCACCAATTTAGACCAAATCAATTATCAGCAATAAATGCTGCTATTCTTGGATACGATTGTTTCATTCTGATGCCCACTGGTGGTGGAAAGTCCTTATGCTATCAACTTCCAGCATTAATAAGTCTTGGAATCACCATTGTCATTTCACCATTGAGAAGTCTTATTATCGACCAGATTCAGAAGCTGTCGTCTCTTGACGTAATATTTTAGAATTATGAAATTTTTAATTTCAATTTTATCTGTATTTGAAAGATAAAAATAGAACATTAATTTTAACATTATTTGCTTTACACTTAATACAATTTAAAATCGTATATTAATATTAAATTTTAAATATTATTTTTATACATTAGAAAATATATTCGTTTGACTAAATTCGTGATTTAAAAATCTTAGATTATGGATCATTGGTTCGGATATAAAATTTCGGTTGTTTAAGAGTTTCAAGTTATTATTCTATTTATGTAATCGACATTAACATTATATTATATTAGATTTTATCTTAAAATTTGCAGTAGTTTTAATTATTTTGTATTTACTATTTGATTGTATGACAAATTATGCTATATATTAGAAAAGTTGGTTCCTTATAGCGTTGCACTTTGAAATAAAATTTCACATAAAAATCTTTATTGAATAAAATCGGACATTGCAATTAGCGTTTCATTCAATTGTCACGTACTCTTATATTTTCCAGGACTTAATCTGTTGATAGTTTTATATAATACTTATAAGATTGGGGAAATTATTATTCCATTATGTATATATTATGATTTATGATATTGAGAATACCTTTTTTATCTGTAGCTTAGTAAATATGATCTACGTAAACTGTTTTTGTATATATTCATTTTATGCATCGTTACTTAAAAATATTCATGTAATATAACATTCATGTATATTCATTCATGTATATAAAATACATTGAAGCAATTTCATTTAATAAAATAAAATTAAATCGATCATAATATTTTCTTTTTTATATCGTAATATAATTTATACATTTTAATAAAAAAACAAAAAAGTGTTGCAATCGATGTAACTTCCAATTTTAGAATTTATTAACTCTATAAGTTTTTCTTTTCATCCATTTCTGCGTATGTTTAAACATATTTTTTTCATCGTTTCATGATTCCAATGAATTATTTTTCTCAATCAATTAAATTTTATGATTTTACCTAACTAGATACATATTTAAATGACGTATTTTTGAATAAACTGTTTTTTTCAATATTGTTTGTTTTCTTTTACCCGTATTTAAAATTATCAAATTTAGTATATAAATGTTTATGTAAAACAATGTATATATTTTTTAATCATTGATTTTCTTAAGTTTTTTCGTTTTCTCATCGTTATTCACCTTATTATAACTTATAAATATTCATTGTAAGTTCATTACTACTAATCATTAACATCTTAGTATATGTCTATTAAAGCTTGATTTACATATCAGATAGTTATAAAAAATATATATATATATAAAATAATAAATTGTTTATGTATTGTATCTTATTAAATAGTAAATGGTTTTAAAATGAATCAGAAAAAGCTTATGCTACTTATATCCTAAAACTTGGCATATTATTTATAAATATGAAGCAAATCTAGGTTCTTTCCAACAGTGAAAAATGTATTTTTCGACTACAAATATTATATTTACAATATCTAAATTCATTCTATTTGTTTCACTAATTGTAAGTGCGATTTAATGATGATTTCTACAATATAGATCATTTTAACAATATTTATACACTGTTATACTATATGTTTGTAAATGAATTAATATTACTTTATAAAAGTAATCAGATGGAAATATTATAAAAAATTAAATAATGCAGTTTAATATTTGTATTTCATAATCATTAAAATATAAAAATAACTGCTTAAAATATGAAAAGTAATACTTGGAATTATACGATTGAAACAAATTAGTATAATATATATTATTTTATAACAAATTATTTAATATATTTCACACATAAGATTAAAGGTAAAGTGACGTTATAAGGCATAAGAATTCTCTGCATTTGGCATTCGTGAATTTTATTTATTCATAACGAAATTGTTTAAGTATTATAAGTCTCGAAACAAGAGTATGCTCACAATTTTTGATTAGATAATCCTATTCAATAAAAACTTATAAGAAAAAAAAACCAATATAATTTCAGATTCCAGCGATGTATCTGACTGCTGATCTGAGTGACGAGCAGGTTTACCGTGTGTTTAGGAAACTGCATGAAACATCGTCAGATCTGAAGTTGCTGTATGTAACCCCGGAGAAGTTATCCATGTCAACTAAATTCTGCAGAAGTCTTGACGCCCTTTATCAACGTCGCAAGCTCGCACGTTTCGTTATCGATGAGGTACACTGTGTCAGCCAGTGGGGCCACGACTTTCGTCCAGATTACAAGAAGCTTTGTGTTCTAAAGGAGAACTTCCCCGACGTCCCTATTGTCGTCCTTACAGCCACGGCTACGCGACGCGTCAGAAGTGACATTCTACATCAGTTGCATCTCCATTCCCCGATGTGGTTCGTTCTATTTGTATTTTTTGACAGATGTTAATTTTTATATAATACTTGACATTAAGAATGAATGCCATATTTATATTGATGATTATCGTTTTTATAAGCATTAAAATGCATTTAATCGATGCTCCAAATAAAAATGAATCAATTAATTAAAATAAATAAATATAAAATATTATACTTAGATGAATTGAAATCTAAACACCGAATGAAGAACTTGTATTTCGTAAGATATCAAAGAAATTAAAATATTTTATTATATAGTATCCAATAGCAAACCAAAATAAAAGATGATTAAATTAAAGAAGGGATTATTAAATATAAGTTAAGTTCGGTATGATTAAATATTGAATAAATGCAAATTAAAGAGAGTAGTATTATTCTGATAATTGAGTAATGCAATTTGAAGATTCCAACAGTCGGTAGTAATACATTAAAGAGCACATTCAAATTTATAAAATATAAAATTATAAGAAATTTCTTTACTGTATGTAAATTAGCAATTTTTTAATTTTTTTTCTTGTTATATATAGAAAAAGATTTGTTTTTTGTCTTTCAAAATATAAATATAAATTTAAGAAGCTTAAATATATATATATAAAATTTTAGGTTTATTTCAAGCTTCAATAGACCAAATCTACGTTATTCAGTAATACCAAAAAAAACAAGAGCTGCTTGTCAGCAAATTGTAGATATAATCAAATCGAAGTTTCCGAAAGAATGTGGTATCGTGTATTGCATCACACGGAAAGATTGCGATGATCACGCAAAAGCATTATTCATGAAGGGTATTGAAGCATTAAGTTATCATGCCGGGCTTGATGATAAGGTACGAATAGAAAGACAGAGCCAATGGATTTCTGAAAAGGTAATTGAGAATTTTAATTTTGCATAAAAACTTATAAATCAATAAACATTATTAATATGAACAAAAATTAAACATATAAGTCTTTTTGAACACATGTATTTAAATAGAATTTCTTGATAAATTATTAATATTATGCAATTATTTTGAAAATTAATGTTTTCTAAATTGAATAACTTAAATATTAAATATTATAATTAATCAATATTTTATTTTCATAATTTTTAATAAAAATAAATCAGTATATTTAATTAATATACATTAATATTGTATATCATGTATTTCTAAAAAATAATGTTACTACAAAAAAAATAATTTAATAATTTAAATAATCTTTAATTTAAACACAAAAATAATTTGACTTATTATTATTAATTAATAATGTACACGTTTCGTTAATTTAATACATTTTAATTATATAGTAATCTAGTTAAAATTATGAAAATAAAAATAAAGTCATATTACTATATATTGGACATTGTATTTTGAATACTTTTATTATAATCAATTAAAATACCAATACCCATTAATTAGTTCATCTATTGCTATAGCTTTTATAATATGTAAATTTTTTTACGCTGTACAAAAATAAAAACTGTGAAACATAAAATTACGAGGTAAAACTGTTATTGAGTATATAGTAAACATAATTTTTTTTATCCATAAATAATTGGAATATCTGAGTGACAAATCATGAGTACGACAACATATAAATGTGTCGAAACTATGTGTATGTCGAATAATATTAATATAAGTCATGTAAAACTAGCGAATGTGTGGCATTGTAAAAATTTATGGATTATGCTAGTAACTTATTCTGCTATTTTCCTGTTCTAAAGCAATATTATCGCGAGAGTTTTTGATGTTCAAGCTCCAAGTGCCAGTGATAGTTCCTGATTTTACATGTTTTCCTAATACTGTCAGTCCAGACTTGAGAACTAAGCGTGATAAAATATAGAAAATAATAAAAAAAAAGATTATAAAAATATAAAATAAAAATGTCGAGATGAAAATTAATTATTAATTAAAATAAATTATTTTTTGTATGATAAGAAACATGGAAGAATTGATACGATAGTATCAACAATGTATTACATATAAAAAATACGTACTCATATTTACTTAATAAAAAGTATTTGTTTATTGATTATATTTTTATTGCAAGACTTCAAACTTTTCGAAGCTCTAAATTTTCTAATCACTATAATATCAACTCATTACATTTTAAATCAAATTGAAATTTATCAATTTTTTTCTTATCTCTAAATATAAATTTATAATGCGTATTTTATTGCGTAATTATTATATGCGTATTTTATTTAGTATATATTAAAGTCTATAGTTTATTTATAAAAAAAGTAATAATAAAATGCAATAATTTATATTGTAGCTTAAGTTTTAGTAAGTGTGAGCTTCTGGATTTGATATTTTTTGTAAACTAAAAGAAATTAAAAGAGTATTGATTATATTAAGGGAAGTCGATATGAATAAATATTTACTAGAAGCTACAAAATATAAATGGACGTATCTTATGAATTGTCTTCTATCAAATATTGCGTTATAATAATTCTTGAATATCAATATTTCAAAAAATCTCCTTGTTTCTTAAAAAAATCTTTTTTTTTAAGTGGGAAACATTTCCTATTATATATTTATCGATACAACTGCGCACTTTCATATTAACCTCCTGTACAGGTGAAGGTGATTTGTGCAACAATAGCCTTTGGCATGGGTATCGATAAACCGAATGTGCGCTTCGTGATCCACTCGTCAATTCCTAAATCCATCGAGGGCTACTACCAGGAGAGTGGACGCGCAGGTCGTGACGGCGATGCTGCTGATTGCCTCCTCCTTTATAACTACGCGGACATGCACCGCTATCGAAATATCATGGAACGCAATGACTACGCAAACGTGGAAGCCCTCAAGACCCACCTCGATAACCTCTACAAGATCGTGCATTTCTGTGAGAATTTGACTGATTGTCGTAGGGCACTGCAGCTCAACTACTTTGGGGAGAAGTTCGATCGACAGGAGTGTATCGTCAATTCCGAAACCACCTGTGATAATTGCCGTACTTACGTGAGCTACAGCTTTCTTTAACGTCTGTCAAAATTATTTACACTTGAAAGGGCTAACGCACTCTTCATTAATGCATTTTACCTTCAAAACATACAAGTCTAATACGATTTTTTTTCGAATTCTCAGAATTCAGCAATAATAATAATTAAATAGTCATTTTTAATTTAAATAAGTAAGTACTAAGAATTCAATGTTTAAAGAGTAACTGACATTCAATTCTAAAATGGAACACCTAAATAAATTATATTAACATTTAAAGAGAAGGTTATGGCTTTCGTTGTTTATCTACAAACACATTGACTACTAACATAGAATTATATCAACCTATAATATATTCATGTTTTTTTCTAATACCTACACAGTATATTAATAAAGTATTTTCTAATACAATAGGATAAATTTCAAAACATGGACGTTACGGACGATGCAAAAGCACTTGTTAAACTGATCCAATCATTAAATAATGTACGAAAAAACAATGTGACGATATTGCAAGTTGTCGACATTTACAAAGGTTCCAATATTTCTAGTATAAGTTACAAATTAGGTATGCTACACTTGAATTGTTAAAATTTACATGAATGAAATATATTTATCTAAGCGCATAGTATCTAAATAAATTCTATATCATTAATTTTTATTTAATATTTTTTCATTAAATTAAAAACTAATTAATAGATGTTAAAATATTTTATTCTAGGCTTTATATTTTTTATTCTATGCTTTAAAATATTAATATACTATATAAGTTAAAATGCCATCTATTAAAATAATCAATAATAACGATTAATATATTATTAATATTAATAGAAGTATTAATAGAAATACGGATAAAAATAATTAATAAAAAGAATTTATTTAGCAATAAATTGTAATAGTAAACGTTACTCAACACTTTATTTTTAGTATCGTTCTAGTTACAAAAAATAATTTAGAAAAGATAATATCTTCCAATGTAATGAAACAAAACACTTATATAATTAATTACACGATTTTCTTGCATAGGATATAATTATCATGAATGGTTTGGCCGAGGAAAATCGATGACAAAATGTGAAATCGAGAGGCTTCTGCATAATTTAGTAATCGAAGGATATTTATGCGAAAATATGGAACTTAATAATGGAATGATTTGCGCTTACGTTGCACCTGGACAACTTGCAAACGAATTACTATATCACAGTAACGTTCAGGTACAACAAATTAGATTATGATGTTTGCACTGTTCAGATCAAATGAGAAATATTTTTAGCATTTGATTTTTTCAGCACCAAATTAACAATTTGTAATTATTTATAATCTTAAGGATAGTTAATTCTAGTAATAATGCATTATTAATTTAGAATATTTTTTTTATAAAATTAAATATATTTTTTGTATAAAATATTTTTATTACCATTTTGCTAAACTTTTTGCTTGCATGTTGCAAGTGAAGGACAAATATATTTTTATACATAAAAATATAACGATACTTTATATTTGTGTATATTGCTTTCAAAAATATATAACACTTAATTACGAAGCTAGAAAAATCTTTTTAAGATTAAAATCAAAGTAGACATAATCAGGGAATACAATTTTTATGCATTAATACATGTTTACGTAATATTTTATAGACTTTAATATATTAATTTATAATAATGTTCTTTTAATCATTTCAAGCATATATAGAAAAAATAGCTAAAATATTCATGCATGATAGTATATAATATCTGTGTATTCATATATACTATATAGTATAGTATATATGAATATACGATTGAAGTAATATAGTATACGATTATAAGTATATTTTTCAGGAATATATTAACAAATTATAATAATTTCCTTTTTATCCTTTCCGTTACATTACACATAAATAATTTATCTTTTATTTTACTTTACATTTCAAATTACTTCAATGAAACAAAAGCACTTCTATATTTAAATTAAATCCAAATTATTTAATAAAAAAATAAGCTCGATATTCTAGTATAAACATTCAATCCAGAAAGTTGAAAAAAAAATAGAGAATAATGTAAATATGATATTTAGATATTCATTCAGAAAAAGAGAACGCCGGAAAACATAACAACGGAGGGCAGCAGAGTGCAAATATCGGCGGTGGCGAACGCCGAATTGAAAGAATTGGAGCAACGCTGCTATGGCGAGCTATTCGATATGGTCAACGGCATCGCGGGCGCTCTCGACGTGTCTGCCAACTCCATCATGAATATCGTAGCCCTTCGCGCTATGAGCCAACAATTACCTTGCGACGAACAGGCCATGTTGAAAATACCGCATGTGACCAAAGCAAACTTCCTCAAATACGGTAAAGCGCTTCTCGACGTCACACAGAAATACTCAAAGGAGAAGCAAGGTAAGTTTGTAAATAGATTATCACGAGGGTTCTTTTTCTTTGTGCAAATTCAGATATGTTCACTTCCAATTCCCTTATATTTACTTTGAGAATCCTTTCACAGCCGTATCTAAAAGTATGTAAGGATACTGCTTATAAAGAACAGGCATTCCTATTTGTCTAATATGGTAAATTAACAGGATATTATTTTAGCAGTCTCCAAGAATTATCGCATTTACCTAAATATTATAATGTCATTAAAATATGCTAATTATTCGATATCAATTTTTTATATTGTTTAATACGAAACAATATTTTGGTTAACAAATAAAAATAGTATTGATAAATAATCCTGTCCAATTAGCTGTAAGATATAATTTCTACATTCTTTTTTTTTATGTATGTATTTCAAAGATTATTTAGTGCATATATATCATTATATTCATAACGTATCAAAATAGAATACAGGAGTGAGATTAATATAAATAATGTATAGTATTCTTTAAATAATTTTTTATTTTTATTATTCTTTAGAGTATCTCGACATAGAAGAACGAAATCAGCCCGAATTTTTAGACTATGAATATTATAATAGTGAATCTGAATGTGATTGGACAGAAAATATGAATATATCATCAAATAATGCAAATAAACGCAAAAGAAATAAATCCAATGTTGAATTAAAAAAATTTAAATATAATAATCAGTATTATGATTATGATGAAGACGTATTGTGGTAAGTTAAATAAAAAGATAATATTTATTTGAAAAATATTTGTCATTATTAATCTAAACATTATTCCAATAAAATGAAAGTTGTAAGATTCTATAAAAATAAATAGTATTTTATTATAAGTATTTAAGCTTTTAAAATATTTTTAAAATTATGATTTAATTAATTTAATATGTGCAGCCAAAAGGCAGATAAAAATAATAATACAAGAGGAAATAAGGCTTATAAAAATACAAATCGCAATAAGTTTTTTAATACTACAAGAGGAGCTAAGTTATATAATATGACAAGAGGAAGAAGGCCTGGATCGGGACGCGGTAGAGGTGCTTATCCAAAATATAATAATAACAATCCAGGACTTTGTGAATTTACAAAGAAACATCCAATGATAAATTCTCAATGACTCAACATAAATTAATTATATTTAATCAAATTAATTTTTATGTTAATCGTTGCAATTAAGCATTAAAAAGTTAAATATAAAGTATGTTCGACTATTTATTGCACTGCTTTATACAACATTGAAAACTACTATTTTTATAACGTATCATAAATAAAGGGATCTATTGCAGTTAAAATATTTTTCAATTGTAGAAATATTCAACCATTTGAATATTAATAAAGTGGTGTGTTACATTGATAGATTAATTAATTCATTCATTCATCTAATGATGCGTTACTATTTTAAAATACAGAATTTTATGTTCAAGTTTATAAATAAAATTTCTTATTATTTCGTACCATTATGTGAATTTTTACCTTAATTCATTCATATTTAGCTTTTAATATATTATTTACATTTTGTACCAGTCAGACCAAGGTTCACTAATTGTTGTCAAGATCTGTACCCTTATTACTTTTAATATCCAAGGAAATAAATATAACATAAGTTTATTAAAAGTAAGATAAAAAATGTATTTATATCTATATAATAAATTATTTTATACATAAAAAATACAATAATCATTTTTGTGTTTAACTTTACTGAAATAACTTTATTTATAATTTATAATTGATTCCGGATATGACTACGGTTGCTCCCAATGCAATTTCGACGGATGCGATAACAGGACGTGATTAAACAAATGTGATAATGACTGTGATAATGATAATGAAAAGTATGATCATTATTTGTGAATTCATTGATTCGGACAAATGGAAGGAATTATTCCAGTTACCAATATCATGCATATTCCTTTTTGAAGCCCTATATATTTAGAATTACTTTCGCATATCGATATAGATATCTAAGGAAGAAACACGCGTATTACTTAAATGATAATAAATAAAGAAATAGTTTCTACAAAATCTTAACTAAAAAGAAGAATAGATATAGATTTATTGCAGAAAATAAATTATCAATTAACTCGAAATGTACATCATTTATTAAATATTTTTAATAAATAACGTTCAAAGGGATAAAGCACTTATATTGATTATAATATTTTATGAAATGTTGTAAAAAAATAAGCATAATAAAAATAAAACCTATAAAAATATATTAATAAAAAATGAACGTATTATACTCGATATTAATAAATTCCATTTATAAAATATGTAATATATTACCAAGACTTTAGAGACTAAGGAATATCCATAAAAATTAGAGCTTCAAGATATGGAAGTATTTATATATTTAGATAATATTTTTTCTGTTACATATGAAGATAATATAAGAGTAACTCATTTCTAAATAATCTACTTAAGACACGAAATAAACAAATATGGAGTTAAATCCAATATTTTCAGAATTAACTAAATATCATGAAATATTTATCTGATACGAATAATTGATATTTTTCAAAAGCCTTTTCCGAGATACTAATTCAATTTTTATAAATTTAGTAGACTGTTTATATTAAGACCATACTAATTAGAACAATATTAAGTTATGGATAAGAAGTCTGAAAGTGAATAACTTTATTTAATAAGTCGAAAAGAATGTTTATTTATTATATTGCGAATCGTTATTTTAAAAATTTATTCATATGATTGGTTACTTGTAATTTGTAACGTTTTCAAATTTAGTTAACTTAAATCAAATTTAATAAATATTCTATGAGTTGTTAAAATGCCGAGTAAAATCAAAGGTTAATACGAAATTCATGTATTATCATGTATTATCATTTTATTCTAGAGTGGAAATATTTTATAATTCTATTATAAGTTAAAAAATAATCGATAAAATGTTAAAGTATTTTTATTTCACCATAAATATTTTTATTGAAAATTATTATTTCTTCGTATGGTATATTAGTCAGCATTTTATATGACTAAGAGTGTGTACATTGAAAGGTGATGAAAATGTTATATTACATAACTTTTTGACTATATATTATAGAAATCTGATATCAATTAATTAAAGTATAGCTTTGAAATGTTTGATTAATTAAGCTTGACCTTTTTATATTTTTTTCATTCAAATCTATCGTTGTGATCAGAGAAATAAATAGTTCGCTTTTGATTATTGTGTATTAAGCGACTACATATGAAGCGTAATTTTAAAAAACTTATGCGGGTAACTTAGATATATATTGAATATTTAAATTGTGTAATCTGTTTTTTTATAACAGGGAATATTTTATCAATATGAAACTAAAAGAGCCATTCACACAATGATCATTACAAAATCATCATTATATCAATATATTTGTATTAAGTACAATAGGATTATACGAATATAATATTTGTAAATGAAGATATCTCATCTTTATAGCCCTATTAAATATAATTCGTTAAGTTGATGTATTTCGATTCCTTTGGTTTTTTTACTATTTTATACAATTACAGTACGTAGTAATTGGAAGCAACTGGCTGATTTTTGTATCACCTTAAATGTAAATATAAAAAAAATATATAGTATAATAAATAATATTATACAAAATTATATAAAATTATTCTTAAAATAAATGTGTTTAATTATATTAAAATCAGTAAGTTTTATAATCGAAAACAAAAATAAATAAATTGTCAATATTGTACTTTGAAAATTATGAAATATCTTTTACTCTAATAGTATTACTTAAAGATTTGATAAAATATTATTTAATAAATTATGTTTCTTTTACTTTTTTATGTTACTGATTTGATTCTGTTTAAATATAGTTTCATGCAAATTATTTTTATTACTTCTGTTACAATTTGTATTAAAAATGTTCATAACATTTTATTGACGTATTTAATAATATATAATTTTAATATGCATTTGTATTTTTATCTAACGATAAAGACGATAAAAAGAATTTATAATACTGTTTGTTATTAGATACAAAATAATTTTATAATTTTTTCAGAATCTGAAGAATGTTAATGTAATTGTTATATAATTTTATAAAATTATACATATTTGAGCAGTAATTGCAATTTAGTAATTAACACAGTTATTATGTGTTAGTTATCATGTTTCTATTGTATATATTCTAAATAACATGTTTCGAAATTTGACATCTATTTATATTTAAGTTTATGTTTTAAAATTTGACAACACTTACTCCAGTAAAAGTACGAAAAGTCAAATCTATGACAAATCCTGCTGTAATCTTTGCAGGACAAGCACTTGTGATTAAGAAAATCATTATTAAATCTGTTGCTCTATTATTTGGTAGTGTGTACCATTCAATCTTGTAGGTGAAATACCTTACTTTTTCATTCTGAAAATTATGAATCAATATTAGTTTTATTTTTCAAGAAAAAAAATTATTATATTGAAATGAATTATTAAATAATCTTATTTTTTATACTTGTTCCTTAAGAAGTTCACCAATGTAACAAATTATGAAAATATTGAACATTAAAGACACGATTAACGTGAAATACGTAAATGTAATTAACAAAGTTTGAATTTCCTTTCCCTAAAATTGAAAATTCTTTTATTATTTTTGAAGCATAAATTGGAAATATCTTATTTAAAATTTTCTCTGAAAAATCACTATATAAAATTGATTTACTAAATTAAAATATTTTTGATAATGAGACATGCTAATATTAAAATAAAAATTTTTATTTAATTTTATTTAATATTTAACAATACCACTACAATGTAATATTCAAGTAAACATATGTTAAGTGTACAGCTCACGAATTGTAGAAAGAATGGAATATTCAGATTTTTCTTCAAACGTTCTGCAAAACTGAAACCAGAAATACAGTCTGATAAATAAATAAAATTATATTTAAAAATATAAAAATATTTTATTTTAGAATAAAATACCAAGTCATGAAATGATGTTTAATTTATTGTATTAGGCATAATTAAATAAGTTTAATTTCTATATTGCAAAAGAATATAATGAAAAATCATTAATTTTATGTAAAAATTAATATTTTTAATCAATATGATATAATAAAAAGGATTTCAATATACTTTAATGAATTTTGAATATCCTAATGCCTTGATTAATTCTCATATAAGTATCTAAAGTTCGCTTTATTCATGTTATATTATATCGCTTTACTCATTGTTTATTTATATTTTTTATTGCATATATAGAAGACTTATAGAAGACATATAGAAGGTAACAATACATTGTTCAATATGAGCGATCGATATATATAATTTAATTGATCAATCCAGTGATGGAGTATTAATATACATTTTCATTTTTAAATAATTAAAATCAATTAATTATATAATTACAATTGTCATTGTACAATGTGAATGATGAATCATTACCAAAATTTTTAATGATCAACGACAACGATATATATATAAGATAAAATAAAATCTTCTTTTTATTTGAATACTTAAGTGCGCGAAGGTGTTGCTCAATGATTTTCGCCATTTTTATTTGACTCGAATATTTGGGAGCAATTGTATTATTTTTTGAATCCTTGTGTTTTGTATCAATAAGTCGATGTAGCATTAACACAACGATTTGCAATTGTCCACAAACGTGCACAACAAAACCAGCAGCAATAGCACATACTGCAACGTTTACAGTATAAATGGCGAAACCACCAATAACTTGTGTACAAAAACAAATTAGATATGTAGTCTTTCGGTCGATAGTAAAGAACCCTTTGTAGATTGGAAAAATGAGTGTCCGAGTTTCTGAATAAAAAATTATATTAATTTTGTTAAAAAAACGTTCTATCATATTCAAAAAAAAAAAATTACTTATTATTAGATTATTTTTTATCGTTGAATACTAAACACATTATTGTTATTTAAATTATTACATATAACATATTTTGCATATGACACATACCATAATTGAAACTCACTATATCCGAGTTATTTTCTGATTGCAGATTTATAGGTGTAACTAGATGTACAGGAAAGATTCCATTACCTGTTATAGGCATGAAAAAATGATACAAGAAGCCAGAAACATACATAAATATTGCGCATACTGAAGCTATAACTCTGCCCAACTTTGCGTTATTTTTCATTATTTCATACTCTTCCTGTATGTAGTTGAATAACATTAATACCATCAGAATCATATGAAATACGTCAAAAGTAATATTCATAAACAAAGTGAATTAGTTGCAAAAAGCACTAAATATCAGATCGTAAAGCCTAACGTACTTTAGTATCAACGCTGCTATACGAATCCCAATCGTCTTCAACATGTTTAAAAAATGCGCCAATCTCATTAATATTTTTTATAAGTGATAAGATTTTTGAAAGCGAATCCGAACAAAAAATTATAGGCCCCGCGAGTTTCAATTTAATCATCATATCCTTTTCCTCGTATAAGGTATACAAAATACCTGAAACTATTTGCAAAAGAACAGAAGTAACGAAGACAAACAAAAGCATTCGCTGTACGATTTTTATCACAATAGATGTATCTTTGTTCGTTGGCCAAATCCCTAACATCATCATAAAGATGTAATTCAATTTTATCTCATTTGCTAATTTTTTGTTTAACATTTTTCTTGCAGACCAATACAGAATAAGTTGAATCGTAAATACTGGCTTTAGCTACATTCGGTGATTAAAAACATAATAATAAACAAGTGTATTATAAATTATCAAAGGTAATAATTTATCCATAAAATAACAGCTAGTTGTACTATATAATATTTAATATAATAATAGACGACTTTTTCTGTTCACTGTTAATTTATATTTATATATATAAATTTGTTCACAATACTAATACCCTATTCTTAAATCCTTTTTTCTTATTTGCGTTTAGCACAGTATCTATATTAAGATAACATATATTGCAATTAGTCAATTAATACAAAATCGTTTTAAAATATTATGATTAAGGGTATAATCGTATGAAAAAAAAATCTCGATCTCTTTCTTTGGTTTCTTATTATATCAATTATACTAAAGAAATAAATATCATGATTTTATATGTTATGAATTTCACTCGTATTTCAACGATATATCAAATAACAAATACAAATTATTATTAGAATTATTTACTTATATTTAATATAAAAATATAAATAAAAAACAATTAACTAATTCAATTATAATCCGTAAACTGAGAACGTACGTCGATCTTCGTACATTTCTTCTATTATTGATTGCTATTAAAAATCAATACGAAAAATTTATTAAAAACGCTTTCATTACATTTCTATTATTAACACAGAATTTTGCAATCTAACTTAAATAAATATCACAAGGCTTCATTTTTACTAGGTCCCAATTATATGGCACAAAACTGTAATTAGATTTTTGGCAATGCAAATCATACCTGGTTTTACTAGTTAATATTTTCTTGTTTTAAAATTCTTTTTAAATGTCACTATAAATCTATGCATAGATCTAAAGTCTAAAACAAATCATTATTTGTTTCATTGTTATTTCACTGTACTTCAATATTTATAAGCATGGATTGACACTCACTACAATTATTTTAACATATAACTAATTTCAAATTCTTTAATCTATAAATCTTATATATCGAAATAAATAATTCTTTTATTTTAAATTCAACCAAAATTTATAACTTATATAATTTCATTTTCTTTTCCTTTTATTTTTATATTGTTTACAAGATTTGAAGTATTTAATATGATAATTACTGTATTTTATATACTTATTAATATTTAAGTTATTTGAAGTGAAAATGTATATACTCAATAAATATCATTTTCACTTGAAATAATAATTAATAAATTATATATCTATACATACACGATATGTGAAAATGTTAAAAAATATTATGCATATTAAAATTTGTAATCTATTATCTTATAAATTACAGTCATTCGAGATATTAAATAATAATATTCAATATAAAATATATAAAAGTATATGTAATAATTTTCTCTTCATTAGTATGGCTATTATTTTCTAAAATTTATTCATATTTCATCTATGAGAATAATATAAAAAATATGTTAATTTCTAAAAAAATCCTAATGAATAATCATTTAGAATTGTATTATAATTCATCTTTTATGACTATTTAGTGTATTGACGAAGCTCAAAATAATAATTATTATAATGAATTGATGTGTTCTAACTATGAAATAATAATGGTATTAACAATATCTATAAAAATATTGTAATTACTGTCAAAAAATTATATTTCATAATATTTTTTTTTATAGATAAATTTAATAACACAAGGACAATAATTAAATTATGTGTGAGTAAATAATTTGTTTTTAAATATAAATACATAATATATCCAGTAAGTTTAAAATAAATTAAATCGCGGATATCTTTTAAATAATGTTATTAATGCATTCTCTTGAAAAATAGCGTAATCTCTAAAATAATAATTAGCACGACTGTTAGTTCGGCGATAAAAGAATTATTTTTTTTCTTGAATCAATTTCTATATTAAATTTTATATATAATCGTTACAACATGTGATTTAATTAATGCAGTAATAAATAATAACAGATGTATGGCTGCACATTCCTGTAATTAAATCGATCTTATGCTCCCCAGAGTATTGCTTATATTAAGAGGGAGAAATGTAAATGCATTAATTGTATGTTCTGAGAGTCTCGTATTAAATTTACTGTCAACTTTTCGACAAAAAATTTCTTATCTATCTGTTATTTCAACATTGATATGCCTAATAATCTGTAATGCATATCCCATCAGTATGGATTTATAAAATACTAGAACAAAACATAATATATTATTCTTATATTGAAACAATTTTATCTAATATTTTATACATACAAAATAATTATTTCATATAAAATAAATTTATTGCAAATTAATTAGTTACATATAATTTTGTGATACAATAAGGCTATCGTGATCACATAAAATTAAAAAACCGAATTTACACAAAAAACAAACTGAATTTATTTAATATAATTAGGTTTGAAAGTTTATGTAACAAACTAAAAAATAAAACAAATAGAAAAAATCTCTCTATAAGAAACTACAAAATATTATTATTTAGAATAATAGAAAATATACAATTATTTAGAAATATGAATAATTTTTGTTATAAAATTATAGTGAATATAAATAACAACACTTATATTATATTGAAATGATTGAAATTAAATTATTATTAAATTTGATAAAAAAATTTAAAACAATATTTATTTCTAGCATTTAATATATAAACAAGAAAATATTTTATATGAGTAAGAGGAGGAACTTACAAGTGTCTACTACGAAAAGATTATACTACGACATGTATTCTAAGAATTTTAATATGTCAAAAAATCATTCATTTTCTTCTAATATATAATATTACAAAACTGTAATTTAGTAGCAATATGAAACAGAAGGAACTCTTATGCAAAACCAATTAGCTTATACAAGTTAAATTAAATACGTCTTGACAGAATCTACTTGTCGTCATTATTCCTAATCTCGCATCTAACAAACTACTGTAAGTTATTTTAAATTATGAATTAAGGAAGGATTTTTGAATCGGAGAATTTTATAATAATAATAATATAATATAAATATTAATAATATAAAAATTAGTTAATATGAAGTATATATTAAAATTTCTAAGGTAATAAGATAGAAACGCTCTAAAAGAAAAGATACAATATAGAGACAAACGAGAAAATCATAGAGAATGATAGCATAAATACTACTTATATGCATGGTATTGTTCAGAATGAAATTATTCTTAAAAATAGGACACTTCTGAAATTATGTACATACATGAAAGACGCACTGTTCTGGAATTACTAGGAAAGAGTACATTAAGAATACGTGGTATCCACATCTGCACGTAGTATATTAATCAGGTGGTCTCTTGCATGTAGTCTATTAAAAAGATCGAGAAAATTTAATATTTAGAATATTCTAAACATTAAGTATTTATACTTCATTGTAATATGTAAATATTCAATGTAATATGCAATACATACAGTAAGTTAATATCGCATGAAATTTTCACTTTTTTAGACAGTACAACATTTGATAACCAATCATCGCATGTTTGTCACATTTATGCCCGAATAATTATTTATAAAATATGATAAATGTTATGGAAAATAAATTGGTATAAATAGATTTATATTTAAATTATATGATTTGTCAAAATTAAATTAAAAAGACTAAACAATTCTATCATTTACAATGAATCATTGAAATAACGATAAGAAAGTTAAGTATGATATTGATATCTTAAATATATATAAAAAATAATATTTTGATATTATAATTTTTATATTTTTTACTAATGTTTTTACTATCTAACTCATATTATGGAACTCAGTACATACGTTCATACAGTTTTTCAAGTCAAGGATAAATAATTGTCCAGTAGTTAAATAAGGACAAACAATTTTCTACCTTCATTATAAATATATTTTATAAAAAAATGAAAATCACATTCATTGCCACAGCAGATTTTTTATTTCATTTTCATTCATAGGAATATCCATGGTACTAATAAAAGAATTTTTTAATTTTTATACAAATAGCATTTAAAAGCTTTTACATCTTGCTACTAGTTTTAATTCTAAATTAATGCTACATTTCAATTCATAGATTTAAATATAGACATTTGACCATAAAAATTTGCGATATAAAAAGCGTTTTTCGTTAAATTTGATGACGTATATATTTGCTCGAGAGTCTAGGTTATTATGATACTGAAAAGTCCTATAATTCTTAGAATAACAAAATTTTGATTGCATTCCTTGAATAATTTTATATTCGTTTTTAATTTTTACAAAATTCATATAATTTTTCATTTTAAAGACAGAAGAACAATTCTGTTTATTTTAATCAAATTTTATTTTCATTGTTCAATCATGAATCAAAACTGTTCTCAAAATGTAGATATATTTAATTTAGACATTTATATATAATTATCAAGTAATATGATTTAAATAAATATGCAAAATGATTCAATTAACTATTTTATGCATAGTAGCAATATATAAAAAGATTATTTAATATATTGTACAATAAAATAAATGTGTATTATTTTTCAGACAGCGATTATATGGCAATTGGATAATCTTTAATATCTGAAGTGAAATACAATATTTCGTGAAATAGCTGTTTTGTATCAAACTTATAGCAAATTTATTTTGAATGATTTTTAGACCAACTTAGAGTAGTAAAATTATTGAAATAATTAAAATGGATAATGTTTGATACAAATGTTTATTTTTGATATTTTTAAATGGCCAATTAATGGTCCAATTATTTTAAAAGTATTAACGATATATTTAAAATTCGTGTCTTCCTTAAACATTGCATTCTATTTTACTTTAAAATATATTAATATGACTCAGAATATTTAAATTCTTGTAAATATAAATTAATTTAGTAACAATGAAATAATTGAAAATAATTGAAAAGTTTGTATGTTCAACAATGATTATATGTTTATTTTTAATTATATAAGAATTAAATATTTTCCATAATTTTTCTATATATAATATATACGTAATTAAAA